CCGAATAAAAGGGGCTGCAAAATATGTGTTCACCTTTCTGACTTAAAATACCACAAAACAAAGTAGTTTCAGAAAATACTTTTTAATTATAATCGCCCACCTTGAAAGGACTTCCAGAGCCTTCATCCTTGTGTGGGTGTTATGTCTGCTATTGTACACTACAGTACGTAAATACTCACAGGTTTTCCTCTAATAACTTACTTGTTATTACAAACTGACCTCAGACCACTTTCTGCAGCAGCAGCAGTTTTGGGTCTAACAACAAAGTGCTGATGCCAGGGGTACCTTTCTACCTGCAGCACCAGATTGCTAATGTATATTACACACCAAGTTCCCAAAGGACCTGTCAATGGAAACTCCGTCTTTTTAATTACAGCTTTGCTACCGGGTGGTCTGGGAGTCATGAAAGGAAAAGAATTTGGAGGTGAAAATGATGTGACGTCAGTTTTCAGAAGCGCTCCGGACCAATTAGTCTTTTATTCCTAATAGTTTGTTATTGTTATTGTAAACTGTTGTTCTTATAATTATTTTCTAACATAAAATCGGTCTCCCTTTCTTTCTGACTGAAATCATTTATGTCTGAAATATGCAGGCTTTGCACCTTTCTGATTGTCAAACCAACCTCAGATTGAGGAAATACAGCCTTACAGTGATATTTCATTCATTGCTTACATAATATAAATGTAGTTTTAAAGGTACAAGGCCATTCGGGATTTCAGTATTCATAAAAAAAAAACTTGATTAAGACCCTTGACAAGCAGATGATGAAAGATCCTCTCCGCCACACACTGAAGGGCACAGTCACAGTGAGTCACAATCTGATTTGCATAGCTTAGACAACAGACAAACTGTGCAAATCATTATCATATAGTGGGGGAGGTGACAGAGATGGACGAGGTTTGTTCTCCGCTGCTCCCTCCAGCAACCTGTGGAGGCCATGATGTGGATCTTTGATTAAAGCACAATGAGGATGAAGGTTGAGAGATTCCCCACTGTGAGGATTAAGTTGTTGAAGAGGCAGGATTGTAGGTTTTTATCACAGCTTCTACAGAGGAGAAACGATACACTACTGTAAAGGATATAACTGCCACTTTAACAGAAGAACCTGCAGAATAATAGGAACGCGGTTAAATTGAGATTTTTATTGTTCTACAAGAGGAATTTTGCAGTAAAGCAAATAAAAAAACACAAACTCAAAAAGACAATTATAGACAAGGTACCAGCATGCAATACAAAGCAAAACTGCAACAGTAACAACAGAGATAAGATAAAATTATAAGGTATGTGTAAAATGAAGAGACAGTTCTGGTGTTTTAAAACTCTTATTACATTTCAACCTGTTGTGTCGAATTTGATGAAAAACTGTATCCGACCAGAAGGGCTGATGTCAACTCAAAAAGAAGATGGTTTGGATTTGCTGAGATTGGTTGATTTTTATGTACAATTCAACTAAAAGTGTACCTGCTGCTCGCCACTGATTTTTACTCAAACCTCGCTTTGAACATTCAAATTTCCATACCAACAAACAACTTAGAAGGCCAGGACTGATTTTATGATGGATCTGTAAAAAAAACACCCTCAAGTTTGAGTGAAAACATTTAAGCTCCACAGAAAATATTGTTTGCTTAGTTCAGTTTGCTTAGAATCCAGCTAAAGGTGTGAGAGTAGACGCACTATATTTTATTTTTAAATCTTTAAATTATTATTTTTTTCATCACAGATGGTGCAGAATACATGTATATGATATGTTGCCTGCGTACATGTCGTGCCACATTGTGTTAATGTAATGTCACATAATGATGCGATACAGTATGTGATGCAGTATATGAGCAAATAACACATATGATATGATATAATGTGATTTGACATGTTTATAAGCCATTTTCTGGGCTTCACAACCAGGTTTTCAAAGCGATAAGCTCGCTAATTACAGTTCCGAGTGTGAGCTCTTGCTCTGTTGTTTATCTAAAGGAAATTAGAAGATAATTATATTTGTGAGACCTGTTTGGACTTGCTCCCTCTCTCTGTTTCTCTCCCCTGCTCTTGCTCTCTCTTCTCCTCTCTGCAAACAGTGCATTATTAATGCTGGAAAGCGAGCCTCTCCAAACAAATCACATACTGTAGCATCAGACACAATATTATTCATTTGATGTCAGCCACTTGTCAGGATGATTTGATTAAAAGTCTGGTTTATGAATTTAGCATCTGCTGTTGCTTCCCAGTGCAGGCCTTTTTTTGAAATCCTCCATCTTGTATAGTGTCCATCCGGTTAGAGCAAATTTAATATCCACTTCTGAAGGAATATATTAGTGGCCATAACTGATAACCAAGCTGGGTTCTAGGTACTTTCCAAAGCACATCATTATTTCATAATGCATTTTGGAGACAAAAGATAAAAGATTACAGCCCGACTGATACTGGTCTTTGAGAGTTCAGAAAGTCTGATACTGATATATTGGCAAATATCTTTTTTCACCTAAAAAAAAAAACAGAATTGTGGAATTAAGGAATTGTGACTATGAGCAGGACAAACAAGAACTTAGCATTGTTCTCTGGTGGACAAATAATATCGACACTGTTTCTAAATATACATGCAAAATGTTAATATGACAGCCAATTCAGTACAAATCTAATCTTGTGCTAACTGACCTTAAAGTTGCTCAATGGAGTAATGTTTACTTGAAGACCTGTGTATCCTTGAGGTCTAACGAACGTGTTGAATGTATTCCCTTCCTCATAAAACATGAGCAAAGCCAAGTCGTTATAAATATTTTAAATGGTGCATTGTTTCCATCCATCTTTGTTTGTTAGCAGGCTTCTTCTTCACAGCCTTTGTTGGCACTTTGTTACGTATCTTGGCGTCTTACTGCCGCCAAATGTTGATCAGCAGAAGAGCGTGAAACCGCCCGTGTGTGCGTCTGTGTTCACATGCATGAGACAAACAAAAACGGAGATCCACTCTAAAAACTCATTCCCTCATTATTTACTCCCTATATAATAAACACACCAACATTAGTTAACAGGAAAAACATTGTCAATTATACAACTAAGACATAATGGTGCTCGTTACCCTCACTTGTTTGCTCGAGTTAGAAAAAACATTTAAAATGCAAAACGGTGTTGCAGAAGTTATTACTTCCTTGCCTACACATTGTGCATTCACATCATCTACATTTGTATTTGTAAACTGCTGTTGCTGCTTATCTTAAACTTGTTAGGATGGAAATAAGCTGGGCCTGTTTTTGGACAACACCATGTGTGAACCCTAGGGTTATATTGAACCAGCTTATCTGATATGTGTTAGATTTTTATCCATCCAAGACACAACTCAGAATATCTCAAAATGCATGATTTAGTAGTTCAACAGTATGGTACCATACATAAAATAAAACGCATGTTAATCCTTTATTTGATGAAATTGCTCATGTGAGATGTATTATTGTTGTCTGAGGAATATACACCCTTTTGTGACAAATCCTCACCTGTAATAACATATTTAATTACACAACTAATCATCTATTCTCTCCTATTCCTTCTGTTTGTCTGCATTTAAGTGTAGAGATGCAGCAGAGAAGGGTTTGTCCATGTGTTATCTGTGATGTAATGATGTGACAGTTAAGGTCTGCACTCTCACTTGGTAAAATGGGTCATGACTGGATATCGGCATAATTACCCTTCATTGGCCAAGCTGTCCTTGAGCAGGAAATGAATATCTCTCTATTATGTACAGGGTCAGCTGATGTGTCCTTCAGATTTAATACATGCCATCACGTTGGTGCAGACAGGCACACACATAAATGTACTGTACACAAACAAATAGGTCCATACAAACGCACACACACGCACATCAAGAACATCCTAAAAACCTTCAGGAAAAGAAACCTGCTATTAATCAACCTGCGTGTGACAAAATACATCTTCAGTCTCCAAGTGTCGGTAATTGCCTTCAATGGAACGGCCTTGAAACTGATTCTCGTTCTGAATAAGGACGCACAGAGCAGCTCTCTCTTTGTCCAGTGATCCTCACCAGGGACGGCACTGCAGCAAAACCAACTAGAACAAATCCACTGCAAGGAACTCTGTAAAGAAATAAAATAATCCATCCATTGAAGAGATTGGTCCCCTGCTTCCAGTGGGTTTTCTTTGTTTCCGGGGCTCAAAGTAATTCTTGTTCTGTTAATCAACAAAGGATTTACAGAAAGCATTGTGGGAAATCTTTAAATTAAAAAAATGTAATTTAAAAGGTAAAATATGGCAGATGATGTAGATGGAAGAACTGAGCCATTTATCTTTACACTAAATACTTAAATACTTACAATGTTTGTTAAGCTGTAATGGTAACAAGGGGCAGTAAAATAAAAAATAAAAAAGAATCAACACTGACATAATGGAGAACACATGTTTACAATAAATAAAAATAAACAAAGCCAGTAATGTGGCAACAGCAGCTATTTCAACCCAAAGCACCATATAACAATTACAAATTGGGCCTTTGAAAGTAACAGTCTGTGAAGTCCTACAAGTAAAATGTCTGTCTTGCCTTAATGGCAGTGTGACCATCTGTAGTGTGTTTTTATTTGTGCTCAGTTGTCTCTGCACGTGACCCTCAGAGAAAATAGTCAAGACAACAACTATCGCAAATTTGCACACTGTGATTCCCAGCATGCACGGCTGGTGTGTTGACATTCATTGATTCACTCAGGCGCCCAAAGTGACACAGGAGTCATTCAGGGAGTGCCACGCATCTGGTGTGTCAGTTTTATAGCAAATAAGCAAGTGAAACTAAACATTTACCTCCTATAGTCTGATGGCTGTTTGGGATTCAAAATTAAAAGCGCATAAACTAAATTGCAGGACAAACTGTGTCACTATACATGCCAAACAACAAGTCATGTCAACAAAACGCAACAATCATGAGCGCTTACGTTGAAAATGGAGCTTATTAATTAACCTTATTCGCCCACGAATTGTCCAATAATGTCTCCCTCATCCTCTTTCAGGCCCCCCAGCTCGGCACTCTGATGGGCGTCTATCTGCCGTGTATCCAGAACATCTTCGGCGTGATCCTCTTCCTCAGGATGACCTGGTTGGTGGGAATCGGAGGTGTCATTGGGACTTTCGTCATCGTCTTCATTTGTTGTTCCACAGTGAGTGTGTAACCTACTTTTATTTAAGCCCTTCGGTTGCAGCACGCTGTGGGTAGAGGCAGCAGGCTGACCTGGTTTATCCTGAAATCAGAAGGTTGCACAGTGCAGTAGTAAAACATGTTTACCATTATTACCTTCATTGAGAACAGTGGATTAAAATAATCTAAGGAACTGGTGGGATTAGATTAAAATAAGGGTTGGGAAGGCTCTCATGAGAAATTTAGTTCACCATTTTTTTACCGCAGCCATCACTTTGGTACTGTGTCTTTGTCTGCTTTAGGCTATTGTAGGCAATGCTGCAAATCACTGAGCAGCATTTTTACATGACTTTTGCATGAATGTGATAAAGTACATCAATTTGTCAGATATTTTGTTCACTGGATTATCTGAAAAGGTACACGCCTATGTGGTTGTTTTATCCATAAATGCTTCCTTAATTGTTTAACAAGGGTACTTTTTCTATCATGAAATCATGAAATATATACATATGGTACTACAAAACACATGTGGAGTCTCAAAGAAAAATACCCAAGCACAAATCTGGCATTCCTGGTTAGTTTGTCTGAAGCTGAAATTTTACTTCCCTCTTTAACTTTACCTCTGCAAAAAGTCTCAAACTGTCTTTCAGAGTGTCTAAAATGCAGACTTTAAATAACATTAGTTTTCTCAGTAGGTAGGATCCTGTCTGGCCTTTCTGTAGTCTCTTTTATCTTTTTTACATTGGTAAGACTTCATTTGGCACACAGTCTGTAACCTTACATTGTTTATTCAGTTCAGTCTTAAAATGTAATTCCTAACAATAGATTCATATGAAAGGATAGGATAGATTTTCTATATTTTTGTTATTGTCACTCCTAATCCACGACAAGACCGAAACCACCAGTGTGTGTTTGTTGCCACAAGCCCATCCGTTCCCGCTGAAAGACTTAAATCTTAAAAAATTGGTCACGATTATGCACTTTTTGTATTTTTTTTTTAAAAAAAGGCTGAGTAGTTTCCTAAAACAGCGGCGCGTTGTAGTTTTCAGCACACGCTACTCAAAAGGAGTAAATGGTGCATTTGTTAGAGACTATATTCAGCTGCTAGTGAGTATTTACAACAGCAGGATGGTGTATGTGGGATCGACTCAAAATAAACATTCAGAGCCCATTTTCATGGTAATGAAGGAACATGTCAATCAGAGCAACAGTGTGCCGCAGTGATGTGTTTTTAATAGTTTTTGGACAACAATGGAGGTCTATGGCAAAGGGAAAACATGTATCAGGCTTTGACTACTACACACAGTACTTGTTAGAAGGATCAATTCATTGTTGGTTTCGGTCTTTTGATGTGATTTGTTGACAACAAGAAAAGTATAGATTATCACAGTCTTGTGCTTTTAGTCACCACTGTTACCAAAACATCAGGCATCCTGTTTTCCACCTTCCTTTCTACACATAGTTTTATATTTAAGGGTCCTTATGAATGCATTGTTGTAGAACAAAGCTGTGAATAGCACTGTAGCCTTTTGGAGCACACAATACCATACTCATAAGAGTTTTGTTGCCTTCGGGAAACTATTTTTACTTTCTAAAGTGGAAATACTGACCCTGCTTTAAACAAAGCCTAATTAAGGTAACATTTCAGGGGAGGAAGTTTTATCTTATTTTAGCCAGTTTGATGGTGCTGGCCATCGGGGAAGTATGTTGTTGCTGTAACTGCAGTCACATAAAGGCTTCTTCTCTTCAGAGACCTTGTACCATGTAACAAGGTTCCCTTTGAGGTATGCAGAAAGAAGCAAGTTGCCGCTCTTTCGTCACTCCACTTGTATTTTTAAGATTCCTCATTGAAGCGCATTCAATCTGTAAAAAGAACAAAATGGATGATGACACACTGTGATGTTCCCTGGTTCCCATTAATGTCAGTGCCATGGAGCTTGTCATGTGTCAGAGTGACTTTGGTGTTGGACTGACACCCTGTCGTGGCCTTGAGACTCGAATTACAAAAGACAGTGTCCCACAGGAACGGCAGCGCTGCTGTCAGTGATCTGAGTGGCTGTTACAAATTGATTGTGTTTGACTTGTTTGATGCATTTGATTGTCAGGGAACATACAATGTGGCTCCTCACTGATGCCTAACATTTTATCTATTCAGGAGAAAGGAGTTCATTCGTATGTTGTACAGGACAGTTTAATTCAAACTGTGTGTGTTCTGTCAGCTTGTCTGGGTTTGTGTATCTTTTCTCTGTTGTGCAGCATGCGTTGTGGCAGGACTGTATGTTGGCATGTCTGTTTGTGCAGCCTAGATTCTCCTCTAGCACAGAGTGTATTTATAGAACAACCCCCTCAAATCCCAACCATAGCAAAGTTGCCTGCACAGACACACAGGCAATATGCTTCCCAATCATGTTTCTCTGTGACAGTAGAGAGAGCTTTGAAAACAGCATAGTGAAGGAGAGCAGTAGTTTTTTGTTGTTGTATTTTTACTTTTTTTTTCTTGACTATTTTACTCATTAGAAAAGTGTAATTGTTGAATATACATTAATTAATTAAAATACGTTTCCATTGATGATGAATGAAAAAAACACACATTTTATTCGAGGTTAATTGTTGGTATATTTATTTTATAAAAGAGGAGATACTCTAACGCTTCTGAAGAAATGGGGCGCTCTGTTTGATACTAAAACTGGCGTCAAAAATAGTGCAGTGTAAAAAAAAATACGTAAGAAAAAAGCCTTGAAGATCAAAGCTGGTTCACACTCAGTTTGACAGGAAGCCATGCAAATGCACACAAACACAGATATGCTTAATGTCTTCCACTTGCACACACACTAGAGTGTCTTTACATGTCCTATACTGGTGAGTATTTAACCAACCTTCTCCTGCTCATTTTTTCTCACCATTTCTATCTTTCTCACACACACACACACACACACACACACACACACACACTTTTTCTTATCAGTCACACCGTGCTCATTGCAGAGCCCTGGGGCGATAAGCCTGAGCATGAACGGTGTGTGAGAAACCCCCACCTCTCTCCTCCTGAGCTCCTTACATAACACATAACCACCAAGCCCTCCAGGGGTTTCCAGCAACACACCACGAGTGTGTGTGTGTGTGTGTGTGTGTGTGTGTGTGTGTGTGTGTGTGTGTGTGTGTGTGTGTGTGTGTGTGTGTGTGTGTGTGTGCATACATGTATACAGTGATCCCCACCTTAGTGAAAGCCACAGGACTTGAAGTGCGCAGGAATCACGCATGCTGTAAAGCTCGATAATATACAGCGTGACCCCATGTTTTATTCACAAGAATGCATGATGGGATATCACTGACGGAGCACTCTTCATTAGGCACTCAATCACAAGCAGCACATATCCGTCCAACACTTACACACTTATTTTTCCGTCACGCAGCATTGTGACAGAACATTAACGAGCTGCCGAACCAGCGCACATTCTGGGAGTCATTATTATACGAGGAATGTGTCTCTGTGTGGAAAAGCTCTGACACATTATACCATTAACCATGAAATTACACACACAACCATTTTAAAAGTCAGTATATGACTGCAGACGGTGTTCTCTGAGCCCGTATATTCAAACATGCGCTGCGTGTGTGTATTTTTAGCCCAGATAATGAATGCAGGCTTGTCACCAAGATAAAATGAGGTTTAATATTCTAGATGGAAAGTCATCTGTTGTTTGGCCTTCCTCATTACTTCCAGGTCTTGAATCCAAATGCTGCGAGGGGAAGGGTGGTCTGCCCTCTGTCGTAACTCATTTAAATGCTAAGGATGCTTTTCTCCCCTCATCCCTTTCATTTTTTACTCTCATCTCTTTCGCTTCCTCAATTTCTCCAGCCCTTTTTTCATTTTACTGTCTCATTATTTCCTCTCTCTTCTCCTCTTTTGCTTCTTCTGCCTATGTCTCCCTCTCTTTCCACCTACCATCCAATTTTTGTCCTGCCTTGCCACCTCTCTCCTCCTCCCTCTCGCACAGCTGCATTTCGTCCTCTTGTTCTCAGTCTCGATCCCCGATGTCAGTCTGAAAGTAAAAATCACCTCCATCTCCTTCACCTGACACTTTTGCCTTCTACAGTACACCTTCCACAGGGATTTCAAGTGATAAACAGCACACTGAAAATAGACTTCTACTGTACCATTATGTGTGAATTGATGAAGTTGAACTATTCTGCATTTGTGTAATGAAGCATGCTAATGATGCACGCTCTCAGGGCAGCGCAAAAACTCCATTCCTGTCAAAACCAATTTCCGCCCAACTGCCGAGGTCGACCAAAGGCCAAATCAGAGTGTGTCTGTAGCTTTGGGAAGAAACAGACCTAAAGTGTCCTTTGCAGTCAGTGTCGCGGGTATATCGGCGAGCAGACTTTTCTTAAAAATGAAAATTAGCTTCTTCATCAAATACATTCCTCAGGCTCAGCCCATAATCATGATGGCTTAGCAATTATTCAAGTTTTGCTAGCATTCACACTGCCTTGGAAGGAAATCATCCCTTTTGTCTGATATATAAGCTTTCTGCTGTTGTACCTCACATGAATAAGACAGATGGCGAGGCAGCATAATGTGACGTTCTCTTCTGGCACGCTTGGAGGCCAGAGGGCGTGTGGGTGCATGTTAGTTTGGAGGTACAGGCAGCGACTCCAGGCTTCATAGAGAAAGATAGAGTTAGCACACTGCGAGTATACGGCGTACACTCTATCAAGCTCTCAGACCGTCACAGTTTTAGGTTACCTGTACTGCCTGAAAGTGGGACGATAAAAACAGGCCACAGGCTGTGGGTCAGTGGGAAAAAAGATGCTGCACATCCTGCAGAACACTGCTGCCTCCAGTACCAGTCCACCAATCAGGTACTGAGTCACACATGAGGTCATCAGGTAAAGTAGTTTTTGGCTATCATCTGGAAAAAGAAAAAAAAAATAAGAGAAAAGAAGAGAAAAATGTTAGTCTTAAATTGAATCTACTACATCTGCTCCTGAAGGCCATTTACGTTTGCAGCAAATCAAAGTGTGACCTTCTGAGATGAGTGCAAACTTTGCAGGACGGTCAAAGTGATCTTCTGTGTTTGTGACAGCAGCCGATTGATGACATTTATTAATGTCCCTGTCTGCAGTGACGCCCGGAGGGTCATGTGCAATAAAACTAGGACACTGCTAAAAGTAAAGGTAAAGTGACCAAATAGGATTTCATTACAAAAAAAAAAAAAAGGGGGGCTGAAAATGACAGAGAGACCATCAGGAATTAACTAGAGGATAGAAGTGAAATTATCAGTTTCACCAGAGACAACATGCTTGAGTGAGTTTTGAAAGGTCACTGTTGCTACCATCCTGTCTGGAGCTTGTCATGCTCCAGACTAAAAAAATGTCTTGGTGACATTGTTATCACTGAAAGAACTGATAAATAGCCAATAACCATAAAAATATCTAAATCTATTTAATAAAAACTAGACAAAAACTGACCATCCTCTAAGCCCCACCCCCTTTAGTTACTGCTGCCCCCGTCAAATAGCATAATGGCAGCCCCTTTAAATTATTTTTTAAAACAATGTGCTTCCCATGTCTTTCTGTGAGTATGTGTGTCTGTGCACCAATCCAATACCACGTAATGTATTATCCCCGAAACTAAACCCTACTACTTCCCAGCAGGAAAGCAAACCTAGGACCAGAGAGAGAGAGAGAGAGAGAGAGAGAGAGAGAGAGAGAGAGAGAGAGAGAGAGAGAGAGAGAGAGAGAGCAAGGGCAGAAAGTTTGCTCAGTTGAATATGTTAGTCTAGTCTGGCTGACTCATTGATCCTTTATCTCACTGAGGTTTGTTGGAATCTATGGCCCCGACCAATATCAGTATCCTAACTGAAATCCATGGTGCTGTCCGTGGTGCTGAAGTAGCAGACAGATTTGTAATAGTGCTTTTCTCTCTCAGTCCTGCCCTTCTATAGATTTAATCTTAGATCTATAATATTTTCTAAACTACACAGAGTACATAAATACTCAATGCATATACTATAGTGAAGCCTGTATGCTATATAGAGTTGTGTCACCTTCATGATTAATGTCACAAGTTGCAATGTGTTGTCATGGTAGGGATCATAGAGACACACTGCTGCCTGTAGCATTTCTATAATGTTTCTATGATCTTTCATTAGCACCTGTGCTGCTGAAAATACACCCTCAGACGAAGTCACCTCTGTAACAAAATATTTTAGGGGAGACATGACTCCAGATAGAGCTTTTATTAGGGTTGGGGTTAGTGACACCCCCCTGTTAAACATTATTTACCTTTTAACAACAAAATGAAGCCTTTTGGGAAAAAGAGCATATGACCTTTCTAATAATATTGCATTTTTACCTTCCAGTTACTGAAATAGACGTAACCCAGAGCCATGTGTTAACTACATCATCATATCTGACTGTACTAGTAAGTCTAAATCATATAAATCCACTGGTGGCTGTCCTGTACAGTTGTGTGGTGATTCAGTGACTCAGTATGCGAAGGACTACCTCTGCATGGCCGCTTCCCACATCAGATAAAACACTTAAACAATTACTGTCTTATCTGCTGTGGTGGGAGAAGAGCTTGTGGCCTCATTATGACCAGATTAGAGAGAGGAACAGAGCCCAGTCCCACTCATTCTTCACTCCTGATCGTCAGTCCATCGGGCCCTCAGGTGACACTAACCACATTATAGTCTTCACAGAGACGGACATAATGATAGTCGAACATAACCGGCTGGGACTCACCAGACTTTCATTATACGTCTCGCTCTCTTTATTGTTTTTTATCTTGCTGGTCTAAGATACCTAAATAATGGTGCCTTTAGAAACATGGAAGATGTTGAGATTTCATCCAAGAACACCACTGAAAAATATTAGACAACAGCAAGGGAAAATAATTATTATGCATTGTTATTAATGATAGTAATAATTGTTGTAGTATCTTTCATTTATGGGTGTAGCGCTTTTTAAAAGCACTGAGGATGTCAGCTTTCTGTGGCGGAGGGGCAGAGGAGTTATTTACTTTTCTTGTAAAAAAACACAGATTAACAAAAGTTATTTGCTAACCGGACACAAAATGAAAAACCAGTAAAATAAATATTAATACACAAAACAACAAGGGGAGGATCCATCTCTTACATAAACTGATACTGGATTTTTAAAAACCAATATTATTATCAGTATTGGAGAGAGAATATAAGAATTTATGGACCGATATTTGGCTTTTAACATATGAACCTATTAATGACTAACAGCTATATTTAGTATGTTAAGAAAAAGCCCCAGATTAGAGGTGGAAACTATTAAGACATGTGGCAGACAAAGTTTTTCTTTTAAAATTGCAATAAACCACAAAAATATGTTTTTAATATTATTTTGACAGGTTAAATATTACATTAATTAATATTTACTCTGGATCATAGCACATATTATGAAATTGAAGTTGTTCTGAATCCAGTGGTAACAAGCATTTGTAATTTGTGAGATACTGACTAGTTTGTCATGAGAATTACAAAATGCCTCTTAAGTCTCCACAATGGAAATAAAAAATAAAATACTGGACAGAGAAAAAGCAACAGATTATGATTTTTCTTTTTGAATCTATATTGTGATAATTCAGAATATAAAATTATAAAGATAAGAGGTTGAGGTTTTCCTTTTAAAAACAGAAGAAGCAACACCTAGACAACAACAACCAGGTAAAACCTTGAAATATATATACCTTTAAGTGCTGTAAAGATAATTACAATATTCCACAGCTGACATTAATGAGTTAAAGATTTGTGATTATGGCATATCTTTATTTAAGAGTCAACGTGCCTGTAAATTAAATTAAAGTGAAACTTTATTATGAGCATTAAATTAATTTAAAAATTACCTCAAACTTATCCTATATCATTATACTGTTGTTACTTATTGGAATCATTAGCCGTCTGATTCATAATCTGTAAGATCTAAAGTACCTTTGTGCTGTTATTGTGACATCTTTTCCCTTTGAGTTTTCATCAGTAAAGTTGCTGTAGATAACATAAAGTAGTTGGCTATCACTGTAGGCATCTTAATTACCCAGTTTGTCTTCTGTACCCCAGTTGCTGCTGTAAATGTACACTGAATGCATCCATCAACCTTTGTTGTAAATGTGATAACTTTCACAAACTGAGTTGAAGCTGAATTAGAATCAACTGTATAAAAACACATTGGACAATAAAAAGTCATATTTTGAACATTGAAACAATGACTTAAATTATAAATACAACAGAAAGCAATGGCACAATACAATTGGAAACATTTTATAATTACAGCAGTATTTACAGAAAAGTAAAAAAGAGAAAAAGAAAAAGTAAAAGCTGTTTTTAGGAGATGGTGATTTTTACCAGCCTGCTCTCACATCTCCTCCTCGTGCTTTTTCTTTCTGTCTCTGTCGCTCTCTTTCATGTGCAGACAATGTAAAAAGACACTCTGAAATTCAACAATAGCGTTTGAGAGGATGATGAAATCTTTATGCCGTCTTTGTACTGTCAAACACACACCTCTTTCTCTATTTCTCACTTTGTCATCTTTTTTATTCCCCTTCGCTGCATGTTTCTCTCCCTCTCTTCCTCTGCAGGACAGTGAAGGCTGCCTGTTTGTGTTTCAGGCGACTAGTGATCTCCATTCAAGCATGCCCTTATGTTTCTTCTGGTGTTTCTCTTCCACGAGTTACATTAGAGTTGTCATTGGTTGTCTGAATGTGCTCTGACAGCTGTTGACAAGCCCGCTGGCATTATTATTTATCTAATCAACAACCAGTCGGCTTTAGCATTTAGCATCGCTGTAAATCGGTGTTGTCCTCACGTAAACTCCGTCACGGGGTGTTTTGATGTAACATACCACAGGCCTGGCGCTGTTATGATGGACACCCACCTGGGAGGAAATTAAGATATGGAAAGTTAACTTCTAAAGTTGACAAACAAAAGTGCAAGTGACTTTTACTCAATGGTGGATGACATAATATTAAAAACAGTGTATGGTTCTCTATGGATGTACTGAAATATCTCAACAACTATCGGATGTGTTGCCGTCCAATTTGGTACATTAGGACGAGTCATAAGGACAAAACCTAATTACTGAAGTGATCCTCTGGCTTTTCTTTTAGCACCATCAGCAGGTTTTTACTTATTTAGTGAAATATCTCTCCTATATATTGGGCGGATTGGAACAAGTACTGTACTTTAAAGGTTCCCAGATGACTTTGGGAAGTTTTGTTTTTTTTCTTTAGCCCCACCATGAGGCGAAAGAGAGGTGAAATATTGCAACAACTATGGTGTTCCTTTAACCTTTCTTCCAACTACCAAGTCATGTTACTGATGCCAAAATACCAGTAAAAGTGGTGGAATTCCCATTAGCCTCACCTGTACCACGCCGGCTGTTTCCAGTCTTTGGGTTAACTTGGTGGACAGTATACCTGCTAGCTGCTGTTAGCTTGCTGACATTAGCATTTAGCTCAAAGCACCACTATGCCAGAGTACAGCCTTTTTGAATAGTTTTTCTTATTAGTCAAGATATATTGACTATAAACTTTGTTACGTCCCCCGATGGAAACCCATTCTTCACTTTCATTCACGTTTTATGACAGAAATGTTTTTTAACAGATTTTAGGAGGAGAAACTCAGCAATCAACTCTCCATATTCACAGTATTATACAGAATTTAATAAATATGATTTCATATCTGTTTTCTGCTCCTCTGTCGTTTCCCCTCCCTCTCTGTGTAGACCATGCTGACTGCCATCTCGATGAGTGCCATCGCTACCAATGGAGTAGTGCCAGGTGGGTGAGCAGACGCTGGCACCACACAGTCATCACTGTTTGAGTCTGTCCGCTTCTAAATTTCTCTTTTCACTGATTGCTTTTGGCACATTACACCCAGCGCAGCTTGATATCCCCAGAAACATTTAAAGCTTTAGTCTGGGATCTTGTGCACTTTAACTTGTTGTCACACAATGTTATTTACACAAAATAAAACAACAGCCAAATGCCTGACATGTAAAACTGAAATAATGTGTTTGTATCTGTATGCAGACACATTAATGTACACATTATGCAGTGTAGCTATATTTTATAATGTGAGTTTATATAGTAATGATGGCCTGCGTGTTACCAGTTGGTGTGTGTACAGCAGGGGTCAGAGCAAATTACAGGCTTGTGGTGAAGAGTGGAAGTGTACGCCAATTATAACTGTCTCTGTTATAACTAGTACCAGTCTTTATGCTGCTGCAAAGTGCTGATTAAGGTCTATTTATCTATGTTCTGTTGTATTTTGTATGTATTTTTACCATTAGGAAATATAAGCACTGATAAAAACAGCATAACCAAAATTACAGCTAATGACAAAAGAACATTTGAACAATTACACAAATACTTTATCATTAGATTTTTAGCCAGTCTATAAGAATATGAGCGAGGTGATCATAATAAGATCCATGTGTGACAATCAATTAATAATTTTAGTAAAAATAGCAAACATTTACTTGTTATAGCTTCAAAAACTTGGAGTTTCTTGCTTTTCTTTGTTGTAAATTCAATAATTGCTTGTGGCTGATAGTTCAACAATTGTCAGACATTATATGTGGCTCTGGTAACACAATGGGCATTTGCTATTAATTTTTATATTATAAAGCCTAAGAGTAGAATATGAAACAAAAATAAATGAACTTTTTCATTGATTTTTTATAGCCAAAATGGCACTAAAATATCAAACTCGAATCAAACAAGTTGTTGTGTATCTCTTAAATAATGGACAGTAATGTGCAGATAAAGTTGCACATTATAAGAGGATGTATATTGCATTTAAATCAAATACGTACCTACATACAAACACCGTACACACATATTTCTGAGTATTTCTGTTAACATTGCTGTGTTTGTGTGCAGCTGGAGGCTCCTACTACATGATATCCCGTTCGCTGGGCCCTGAGTTTGGGGGAGCAGTGGGGATCTGTTTCTACCTTGGTACCACCTATGCTGGAGCCATGTACATCCTGGGAGCCATTGAGCTCCTCCTGGTGAGAAACATCTTCTTTACTCCTCTCTCGTGTTTTTTTTTTTTACTATTATCATCAGGGCATCTGTTTTTAGGATTTTTTTAAAGGTGAAATATTTGTGCCATTAACTATATATTTACAAAATAATATTTACAGTGCGAGTTCACCAGGTTTGGTGACTCTATGTGTGGTCAAGGATTAGCACCAAACATCCAGTCCAGAGTTGATTCAGCCCAGTACGTCGGACCAATCAGTAAATATTAAGATAATCATGGGACTCATCCTGCAAATTACTCAACCTTGATAACAAATTAGGCATTTTAGACCTAAAATGGTGCATTTCTCTGCACTTGTATGGCCTATTTCTCACCCCACATTTATTCTAAGAATGACTCTGCTAATAATTGGTGAAAAATTTGACAACATTTCCAGAACAGCTGCCATGTTTTCTCAGACTGGAAATTAGACACAAAGACCAGTGACAGCCCAGTGAGTGGGTTCATGTTGATGTGAGTAAAGGAGAGAACTGTCAACTGTCTCTTTTGTTCAGCCTACTTGAAATTTCAAGCTAATTCATCCATAATGTTGAAAGGGAAAATGATGGGATAGCTTTGCCAGGTTAGTAGAGGATGACCAGTCAAATCACAGCTTTTCCTTCCCCCACAGTAAACACATACATTGACAATTTTGTCATAGTGATAACACAAAAGCTACTCTCAAGAGGAAGTCACTGTGCAGCAAGTGCAGCATTGTCACGATTTAAAATGACCTCTTGATTAAATTATGGAGGTAATACATAAAAGATTTGGTTCCATGTTGCTCTGCCCCAAGGGAAACTGGTGCCAATATTGGAAATGGTTCAATGGCATGAGGCAAGGAGCCAAACAAAACTAGCAGTACAGAAGCATTCAAAAATCAATCACTGATGTCTCCTCAACCACACTCTTCAAACACACTCCTCTGATCCATGACATCGCTCAGTGAACTCCTCTGAAGATTGAGTCAAGTGCAGTTTTGTACCATGGGCTGGGGTCAGCCAATACATTTACAGTATGTATAATCCGAAGATGTAAAATATTCAAAAAATATTCAAAAACTACCTTTTTCATCACATTTAGCATCCAACAAGAGAACTGAACTGAACAAGTTACACAAAGACAGGATTATTTTTCAGAAAATGTAATTTTTTTTGTTGCACAGTGTCTTTAATAGGTTTTTATGAAAGGCTAATTAGGCAGAATATAATCCAGGAAGAGCTTTTGATATCATTGCAAATCCTTGATAGCAAATTGCGTTGCTGCCTGATTGCTGCAGACACTGAATCTTCAGTGCAGTGAAATTAACGGTGAATTGGCAAACGTGGAAAAAAAAATAAGAAAAGAAATCCTGTTCTCCCTTCAGAAATGGAACAGTACGCAGCAGCGCTCTGTGCCACATTGAGTTCTTCTCCTTCAGTTTATTTTCCTCCTCACTGCTCTTTGAAGCTATTTTTTCTCAAGCTGTGTGTTCTTCAACGTGAATTCTGATCAGTTGATGAAATGCAAGGATCTTTCATCTCGATCTTCATTCCTCTCCTCCTCCTCCTCCTCCTCCTCCTCCTCCTCCTCCTCAGCCTTTTATTCCACATTTCTTCTACTGCAGTCCCCCCATGCTGCATGGACTATTGGGTAATTATGCAAATACTGCATTAGCGAGCGATCAAGACACTCGCAGAGTAACAAGACCATTCCTTGAAACAGCTCTCATCACTTTGGTCCACTGTTATCAACATACCAGAGTGTGTTTTTTTTTTTTTTTTTTACTCTTCCATTATTCTCCTTCTGGATGCCTCTAATGGATATGCAGAGTTTGATCATGCCTGGAGGTTAATTCTGTCTTCTGGGTCAAAGCTGGCTTAGTTTCCATTGTAAAATAACAATCCCTGCAGAATTGTAAAGAGTGGATCTGGAGAAGGCTGATTTGAATATGTTTCATCCTTCCACCCAAGCCAAGAACACAAACTGATGCTGCTATTTTAGGAAGCATGAACAGTTCACAGTAAAGCAGGAGATTTGTTTGCCTAGTGATATGCTGTTCTTAGCATCCGATCAGTTTCTCCAGCCAAATGGCCGTAATGAGCCATGACTCCCTGCTCATTCTTGTCAATTTTATTCCCTCTGTATGGTGATTGAACTGTTTTTGGGTGGAAACCAAATGATTATTAAAAAAAAGAAGATATTCCCGTGCTTATGTAACAGCTTCGCCATGAATCATCTAAAGCTGATAACAGATACTGACGGACTAATTAGGGGGTTTACCATTTTCTATATGATGGGACTATTTTTAGATTTACCCGTAGTAAAAGTGTAATAATGGTAGTTCATTTCAAATATTAATACCATGCTTGAGTTCTTTAATTAAGCTGAATTAAAATAGCAGAGCAGAATTATATGTGCTGCTCCGAGCTCCAGTAGAGGACTGTTAATGTGAGCATCACATGTTTTCACACTTCACAGAGTTGTCCTCCTCACTTACCTCATGCTTTTCTCACCTCTCTTTTATTATATTTCAGCTTTTTTTTTTTTTACCCAGGGTGAGATTTATTAAATTCAGCAGTAAACAATGAGCTAGAGGAGAAGGCTCATGACCTGAAATCTGCCAGTTTAAATCCCCAGACAGGCTGGGAAAAAGTGAGGAGGGAAAGTGGATGAGTAACACTCCCTAAACAACTACCACCAAGATGCCCTTGAGCCAAACTGAGATTGTATGGAACTTTTATGAGTAAAAACTTCCCTTGATATAAAGAGGGAAAACAAACACTAATATAACCCCTCTACTTCAGATCTACATAGCACCAAAAGCAGCCATCTTTCCCCTGGAAGGCTTGGAGGGTGCAGAGGCAGAGGCTGCCCTGCTGAACAACATGCGCGTGTACGGGACCATCCTGTTGACCTCCATGGCCACGGTGGTGTTTGTCGGAGTGAAGTACGTCAACAAGCTGGCCCTGGTGTTTCTGGCCTGCGTCATTCTCTCCATCTTTGCCGTCTACGCCGGAGTCATCAAGACCGCCGTCGAGCCTCCCATATTCCCGTAAGCAGTGACAATCAAGACAGTCCAACAGAATATAAGCTTGGCCACAAAGTATATGCATAACCCTGACAGCCAGGCAAAGAAACACACCTGAGCACATACAATACACAGCTAATATAAAAACACACAGGCTAGGTTTATAACTACAATCTGCACTTATTTAAAGGCTTGGGAATTAATTAAACTGCAGTATTTTAATGAAATTTATTTCCCAATTAAGTACTAATTGATTGATTTGCAGATCCAAAGTTAAAACTGAGCTAAACTAGGTTGCCAGTAATTGTATTGTTTCAGCGTGCTGTTGGGTAGAACCTGCGTCATTAAGATGCTGATGAGTCAACAGTTGTATGTAACCCAGACATCTAGTTTTTACCTCACTTTAATGCATTTTGAACCTAGACATCTATCACAAAATCAATGCTCCCTGGTGAGATTGCAAATAAAAAAATTAATTCTTCGACTAAGTACTTACTGAAATCAGTTTAGTTACTTTTTACTGTTTACAGTTGTAGGGCTGTTGTTGTGCTGGATATAATCTACTCAAATTGTGGAAAGAGTGTGTGAAATCTTGTGATTTAATATAATGCATCTTTACTAAAGAAGTCAAAACCAATTGTTAACACCAAACACACACAACAGCCACTACAACAATTCTCTGACAGATCATTTGTGCTTTTCTTCCTTCCAGTGTGTGTCTCTTGGGCAACCGCACTTTAGTGTGGAAGTCATTTGATGTGTGTGCCAAGACCGTTGAGACAGCTAATGGGACAGTCACCACCCAGCTGTGGAGCATGTTCTGTGACTCACCTCTCCTCAACGCTACCTGCGACAAGTACTTCACAGCCAACAATGTGTCTCAGATCCAGGGCATCCCAGGGGTCACCAGTGGAATCCTGGCAGGTTGGTTCATCCGGTTTGGATCTGTATAATGTTTATACAGTGAGGACACAAATACACACATCTATGTGCAGAACACAAATATGTATTTCTTTCTGTCTCTTGTCTTAACATGTTGCTGTGACAATTTACTGGTGGCTTTTTCTCCTCAAAGGAAAAAAACTTTGCCAAACTGCATTGTCGTCTGTCAAATGGGGAAACATAACAGTGTGAATGAGTGGCTGCAGTTTCTTTGCAGGGAAAACTGATATATACAGTATATATGAGTGACAGATATATTTTGTTTTAACCATATACATTTGAGTAAACACTCACTGAGTTTGATAAATTTGGATGAGAACGTGGACTCGAGTCAGAGTCAGCAATTTGATTACTTATGACTCGATTTGACAAAATTATAAAAGACAATTGCAACTCGACTTGCACTTGGTCTTAAACCTAATACCTTCCTCCAAGCAACATTAACCCTATGAATTCCCAGAAAGTCAACAAATAATTCCCTAGATCCACTTTGTTCAAACTAAACTGACAGCAATCAAGCTGCAGGAGAGAACCACGAATAACTAACGTTACATTACTGAGCCCCAGATGGATTTTTTTTTACCAGACATAATTTTGTTCGTGTACACACAGGCTCATTTTCAACCACTGTACAGTAATGATATGTTTAGACTGAGTGTTGCAGGTTTCCTCCCTTTGAAGTTTATCTGAAACAGGATGACAAATAATGTGTTTTTTGAACATTAAAGAATCTAAATCCATTCAAGTAGAAACCCAATATCACCTGAATAGATCATAATATGGCCTCCTATATTATCTTATATTATTACTCTGTTATTAAAATGTCATAACATTTGGTTAAGAGCGCATGATTAATATAGTGCCTATAAAAAGTATTCACCCCCTCAGAAGAACATTAACTCAAAGTAGATGTAATGTTTTTGCACTAAAAAAGACACTAATGTCACAGTTAATCAAAGACTTCCTAAATGAATTGGCTGCACCAATAACTAATCTGTTGATTAGTGTCAAACACACCACATTACATCTACTTTGAGATTCACTGTTGTAAAATAATCAACCAAAGTTAGCCCAGGTCTTTTGGAGCCATAAGCACGGGTCTAATTTAGCCCAAAGCTACAAAATAACATCTGGATGATTTTTTTGTTATTGTCTCTTTATTGTTTATTGTAACACAAACCTAAGCGCATCAAAGTTACTATGTAAAAGTAGAAATTAATGATAACTGGAGAGCTAAAGTAAACCTGTTAGTCTTAACTTTAATTAAAATGCAATCTAAAAATACATTAACTAGATGGCAGTCTGGAATAAAAGCTTGTTTATGTCCTTTTTTTAAAATTTGTTTTTGTCTACATGAAACATTCACTCAATTCACTCTTTCCTCTTTTCTTCCCTTCATCCTTCTCACCCATCCAGAGAACCTGTTCGGAACCTACTATGAGAAGGGGGACCTGATTGCCAGACAGAACATGGAGTCAGCGGAAGACCAGGACGACCCTCTGACAAACTCAAACCGCTACGTGTTGGCCGACATCACCAGCTTCTTTACGTTGCTGGTCGGCATTTACTTCCCCTCTGTGACAGGTGACTGTGACTGTTACAAGGATTTGTATTAATTACATGATTATTTTAATGTTAGGGTGACAGTTTGTATTGTTAGCACTCAGGAGTTACAGAAACAGCTTTCTGTATGACACCTCTGTGTTATCAATGTAAAGGAATTGATCGATATTCTGCTGCTTCTAACACGTCCCTGTTGTTTGCATGTGTGTAAATCTCCTTGACCTTGATAACGTTTGTTTCCCGACTATCTATTCAGGGATCATGGCTGGCTCCAACCGCTCCGGAGACCTGCGTGATGCCCAGAAGTCAATCCCCATTGGAACCATTGCAGCCATCACCACCACCTCCACTGTCTGTATCCTCCTACTAGTGTCCCCTGCAGGATAACAAGGGTCACTGCACAGACAAAAGTTTTAAGTGTTTAAATGCCAGTTTTCAGCCAAATATTATATCAGTAGGAGATTATATAGGTTAAAACCTACTGATCAACCCAGAGAGGTCACCATAAGTTAGATACACTCGCCAGGATTGTTTGTTACATAATTCCTAATTAAGACCTAAATTATTCCAGCCAGATAGTCACTCAAATGTTATTTTAAGCTCAGTGATGTTATGTCAGACACCACTGCTCCAATGTTGACAGGACTTGAAGGGATGATGCACTGTGGTGCTTTGCTCTGCTGCAACAAAAACACACTGATTGGCCTGCAGGGAGCATGATAATTAAAGGTCAACGTTTTAAACTGTGAAAGGCCATAACTGCTACAATACAAGTCTGATTTTCACAAGTGGGACTGCATTGTTTGTCAGATTGGACCAAAGTATGTCCGTGTCATTCATGGGAGAGGACACTGACTCTCTTTCTCATTAAATCATGGTGACGTGGCTGCTGAGTCAGTTTGGTGCAACAGGTTCAATATGAGCTTTATTTTCTTCCAGAATGTTTATATACATAAAAGATGTTAGCATAATTATGGTACTATAAATATAAGTAATATAAATATTTAAAAATTTAAAAGAAAGTGGTGTGATGTGTGTTTGGAAACAGCTGATACATGTGGCGCTACCAATTTCTTCCTCCTCACATTCTTATGTTTTAATGACATTAGTTTGTGCAAAAGTTTTAAATTGAGGAATCTCTATATCCTTAATTATCAACTGAAACATTATTTGGCTGCTATATATGTACTTCAAGAGATATGTTATCACAGGCCTCTGACTCTGAAGCAGCCATCTTGAATGTCTTCCATGTTTCTCGGAGTAATCAGCTTGGGGTCTAAACAAATGTGATTAGGACGTCTAATCACATCACTGGGCTGCCTGTGCAATCACGAGTTAATAAAGAAGTAGGATATTAGTTACAATGTCATTGATCTCTGAGATATTATCCTAAACAAAATCGATTGTCTTTACTCTGCAAATGTAGTTGATTGGTTTATCAGATCATTAAGTACTTCTTTAAAGGGAAAGGTTTCTAATTTTTATAATCAAATCCTGTCAGTCACTAAACATGTCTCATCATAGGAGCATTCATGCTAGAAAATATATCAAATGTGCACTATTTTAAAACCTTGACACCTGTCTATGAAATACCTTTATTTTCCTGAGCCGTTTATTCTTAGATATGTCCAGTGTGGTTCTGTTTGGTGCCTGCATCGAGGGTGTGGTCCTCAGGGACAAGTAAGTCCTTCCTTGATGAGTCGAAACAAACAACCTCATAATAATAACTGATTATTGCTTCAATAACATGAACACAATAAAAAACACATCTCCAACCTTTTCCCATCTCCTTAAGGTTCGGGGAGGGAGTCCACGGGAACTTGGTGATTGGCACATTAGCTTGGCCGTCACCATGGGTGATTGTGATTGGCTCCTTCTTCTCCACCTGCGGGGCAGGGCTGCAGAGTTTGACCGGAGCTCCTCGTCTCCTGCAAGCCATCGCCAAGGACAACATCGTGCCCGCCCTTCGGGTCAGTCTGCCTAATTATTTACACTCATAATGTTCCCCTTCCTAATGATTTTACATACTGCGTGCAATAAGCACTCCAAGCTGACTAAAAAATAGTGGTGTTAATATGTTTCTGTGCTGTCCCCGCAGATCTTTGGCCATGGAAAGGCCAACGGAGAGCCCACATGGTCCCTCCTGCTGACTGCTTGTATCTGTGAGAGCGGCATCCTCATTGCTTCCCTCGATGCAGTGGCTCCCATCCTCTCCATGTGAGAACTGAAACAAACTCTCTTAATTCACTGCCCTTTTTCAAGAACCAACAGTGGGAGATTTCAGAGCAGCCAGTCCCCTGCTATTCCTTAAACGATGCAAATGCCAAATTTTATAAGCTCAGGATTTAGCTCATCACACAAAAGGGCAGGCCGCTTTTCTCCTTGATAATACATATAAATACCAGTGAACGTGACAGATATTAAGACGACATACTCCTCGGAGTGCATTCAGGGTGAAATCCCTCTACTGTGTTGCAGTTTAAATTGAGTTTCTTTGTTTTTGTGTGTCTTCTGCAGGTTTTTCCTTATGTGCTACATGTTCGTGAACTTGGCCTGTGCTCTGCAGACGCTGCTGAGAACTCCAAACTGGAGACCCCGTTTCAAGTTCTACCACTGGTCAGTTCAGCAGCTACTGAGAAAAATAGCAGCTGAATTTCTGCATTTAAAATATGTTTTCTGTCTTTAAATTAGTCTCTCTGGGACTCTAGCTTTACTGTTTGTGTCTCTCTGTGTCTCTGTCTATCTCTTTAACCATCTCTACAGGACTCTGTCCTTCCTGGGGATGAGCTTGTGTCTCACTCTCATGTTCATCTGCTCTTGGTACTACGCCATCGTCGCCATGGTGATTGCCGGCTCTATCTACAAGTATATCGAGTTCTCAGGGTGAGTGGAGCGCAACCCCAGGAGAGATTGGATTCGTTGGCTGCCTTTGGCTTTTGCTGGTGTGTGTGTGTGTGTGTGTGTGTGTGTGTGTGTGTGTGTGTGTGTGTGTGTGTGTGTGTGTGTGTGTGTGTTGTTATATACTGTATTTTAAGAGTTTTCTGTTTTTCAAATTCTGAGAAATTCGTGTTTCTGGTTTTAGTCATGTAAGAGTGTTAATTTCCAAGTAAACTACTTGGTGCACTGTAGAAAACAGGCAGATTATGAGACAACGGGCCAGTCAGCACAACACCCCCCCTCCCCCAAAGACACAAAAAGACTCAAATGATGTAGCTGGACAGTCATCTGTGTCTTTGAGTGATGTTCTGTAGATAAAGCAGAACTCTCAGGTGCTGCTGTTTGTTCAGTAACTATAGCTGTGTTGTTTGTAATTGTTTTGTGTTTCTTTGTAGTGGTTTTGTGTCTCTTCGAAGTTGTTGTTTCTCTTCGCAGTTGTTTTCTGTCTCATTGTAGTTGTTTTCTGTCTCATTGTAGTTGTTTTGTATCTCGTTGTAGTTGCTTTGTATCTATTTGTAGTTGTTTTGTATCTATTTGTAGTTGTTTTGTGTGAGATTAAGGTTCTCTTTGAGAGCTATTTTGTTGTTATAATTTAAATAGCTTCACTAATTTTACTGTCTTTTATTGAAATTTTACTCATTACCTCATTATACTGTGCAGTTCCTGCTAAAGGATAAAAAAAAACTTTTGGATTGGATTTGGCTGACAGATTTTAGCATTAAAAGACTGATCAGTCACTTCAAACGGAGGCTCTAGCCCAGGGGCCCCCTGAACCCTCTGGCCCCTGTGCCTGTGTCTGCTAGGCCCGTTCAGTAATCCATCCATGCTTATAATGAGTGGCACAGAGCAATGCAAGTATTTAAGTGCTGTGATTCCCTGTGGTCAGTGACATCATGTTAACTTGACATTTACCAGTGATGCCTATTTCTTAATCACATTGCATTATGTCAAACTGTCGTCTAAAAGTAGATTTGTTTCAGTGTGCTGACTGTGTCACTGTCAATTTTTAAGTTTAGTATGAAGCTGCAAAACTATAGTTTGTGTTTTGACCGGCAAATATCGACTGGCTCTTGTCTGTGACACAGTGCGGAGAAAGAGTGGGGTGATGGGATACGAGGTCTGTCTCTGAGCGCTGCACGTTACGCTCTCATGCGGCTGGAGGAAGGTCCCCCGCACACCAAGAACTGGAGGTATGACACAATCACACACCGGTCACACACTGTTGTTTTATCCTGGTTCTAATTAACATAAAAATTAACAACTTGTCTGTACATGTTCAACCGTTCTCACTTAATGTGATTCTCCTCATCGCAGTCAAGTGTTTGAATTTATATTAACACGTCAACCTTGAATGCTGTTTTTCCCTGTCTCTCTTTCCCAACTAGGACTTTTACTTGGCCCACTCGGCCATTTCTTCCCTCATGACTTTATTTGATTCTTCATCGCTCTCCCTGCCCTGTATTTGTTTCGCTCTACTTTTTTCTGCCCTGTGTTTTCACTTTCTCTCCCTTCTGCTCTTCCCTCTCCTCAGGCCCCAGTTGCTTGTGCTGGTTAGTACAGATACAGAGCAAAACGTCGAGCAGCCTCGTCTGCTCTCTCTGACCAACCAGCTGAAGGCAGGCAAAGGTCTGACCATTGTTGGAACGGCTCTAGTGGGCTCCTACCTGGAGAACTACGACCAGACCCAGCGTGCAGAGCAGGTATAGAGCCTCAAAGAAAATAAAAAAGAAAGCTCTTTCAAATTCTGTTCCTCTGTGGAAGAAAATGTGTTTTATTAAATTACATCACAGAGAAGAAATCATGTCGAGCTAGCTGGCACAGAATTTTACATATCTGACATACTTATCACAGTCAAAAGGCGACATTTATTTTAAAATCCAGGCCCTCTTTTAAGTATGTATTGGAACAGACATTGCTTTTGATCCCCTGATTTGTCTACATGTGTTATGTGTAGTGTACAATGTACAAATTTATGAATATGTGGATATTTATATGGACACAATATTCTTCACTCTGCTCACATCTTTTAAACATCCATCGTTCTTTTGAAAGTAAGGTAAAGAACTAGGACAGCCACCTCTGCAACAGCACCTACCCAGAAGCTGTTCTTGCCCTTAACTCTTAAATCATTTATGTGCTGCTATTATTCCTGTCTGTAAGACACTGTACGGTTATATATAATTGGTATATTGGTATATTGGTATACACCATAGCTGGTGGTTAATTATTACACTTAATTTACTTTTATGTCCTAAGGTTATGTCACTGTATGTGTGGTTGGGTTCTTCTTGTTTTTCTTGTGTGAGAGCTCACCAAACCAAATTCCTATATTCGTACATCAAAATGGCAATAAAGTATTTAATCTTAAGAATCTGAATCTTATATAAATGTACTTGCATGTGACAACTTGTGAGGCTGAGTCTTGCACTAAGCTAGCCTTTAACTTGTTCTCTGCACTTTGGTAACAGTATTTCTCTCTTGCCTTTGTAGGCATTGCGTAAACTGATGGAGACTGAGAAGGTGAAGGGTTTCTCTCAAGTGACCGTGTCCTCAAACCTGCGTGATGCCACCTCCCACCTCCTCCAGGCCAGTGGGCTAGGAGGCCTGAAACATAATGCTGTGCTTGTATCCTGGCCACGTAACTGGAAGCAGGGAGATGAGCACCAGACCTGGAGGAACTTTGTTGGTGGGTCACTGAAAGAGCAAATAAACAAATAATCCCTTTAAAAAAGGCTGAAATCCAAAAGGTTTGGCTCTGCCTTAGGCAGATTTTGGGTTAGTGTGTTGGAGTGGTGCACTTTTCTGCAATCAAAAACTGCAGGTTTCAAACTCTTTTTATGTCTAGCATTGTGCTGCTGAAGCATCTGAGCAAGACAAAATCCCTACCAGCTCCAGCTCATCCTGCTATTTAACCTCTCTGTTGAGGGTAGAAGTGAAAAGAATAATATGAGTACACCATGAAAGAAAAGAAGAAATATTTGATGGACAGCAGAATTACTCATGTCAAATGATGCAGTAACAAAAACTGACAAGGAAGATGCCAGTTCCAAGCAAAAATTAATACAAACATAAACAGAAAAACATCAATGTCAAAGCTTTCCATTAGGCTCAACTACAGCCAATTAACTACATCGGGAAAGTAATGAAAAAACAAAATCCAAAACACGTAAAACATTTCAGTAAATCTTTGATAATAGTTTCTCAGACAGTTAGTAGAAGTAGTACAGTTAACACCTCTTCCTCTGTGTGTGTGTGTGTGTCTGTCTTTTCTGCAGAGTTGGTCAGAGAAACAACCGCTGCTCACTTGGCTATGCTTGTCCCAAAGAACATTGCGGCCTTCCCGTCCAATGGAGAGCGCTTCACCGAGGGTCACATTGACGTGTGGTGGATTGTCCATGATGGAGGCATGCTGATGCTGCTTCCCTTCCTCCTCCGACAGCACAAGGTACTGTGCAACAGTTAATACTAGAAACAGACAAAAAAGGTAAACATTACAAACATATTTCAGTATAGAAAGTCTACAATCAACAAATTCAGACAAAATAAACACTTAATGAAAACGGTTTCCTGCCCGATGCACATCATATGTACATATAATGTTCTGTTAAGTTCAGTTTGCAGGGAGATGCAGCTCAAGGAGTAGTTTTCAGTAGTTTTGAACAGGTAGACACTTAAATAAAGTAGCCACAGAACAACAGAACAATACTGTAAAGATATGTCAGCAGTGTTGTTTCTGCTACTCAGGTTTGGAGGAAGTGCAAGATGCGCATCTTCACTGTGGCCCAGATGGACGATAACAGCATCCAGATGAAAAAGGACCTGACCACATTCCTCTATCACCTCCGTATTGATGCCATGGTGGAAGTTGTGGAAATGGTGAGTTTTCTCGAGATCAGACTGAAGTTTGAAATACCTGTAAGAACCTATATCAGAAAAACAAGAATGAAATACGTTGTGTTAAGGCATCAGTAAGCTACAACCAAAGCTCCTCCCCCCGGCTCCTTACCAACATTGGAATTGGGGAGTATGCGTCCGAGTTTTGGTCAACAGTGGAGTAGCATTACACATTAAGGGTTTGAAATGAACATACCGGTAAATGAACGTAAACAGCACCAAGAACAATGCGGATAATAAAAGAAAAACTGTCTCTTTCTTAGCATGACAGCGACATCTCAGCCTACACTTATGAGAAGACCCTGGTGATGGAACAACGGTCGCAGATGCTTAAACAGATCAAAATGACTAAGAACGAGCGTGAACGAGAGGTAAGAAAAGTTTGTTTATGCCAAAGTTTTGTTGTTTTAAAATTCACTCAAAGGTGCACATGTGAACTTGACACGACTTGACGGGTCGACTTGGTATGGCTTGGCACAATTTGACTTGACTTAACATGACACATTAGCCCCTCTGGACAAAAGCATATCTACAGTTAAATCGGAGCAGTGGGACAACATATTTACCCTTTCTCTCATTGTTGAGTACAGCCACAGCAGCAACTGCTTTGCTTTTGTGCATGACAGCATGATGGTGTTTTGACAGATGTGGAAAATAAAAGATATTGATCTCATACTATTATTACCTACTCCATATTCTTTGTTGAACTTTAAGATCGCCTTGTTATCCGGGTCAATAAATGTAATAATTGCAATTGAATTTTAGTTTTTTTTTTTTTATCATTGAGGTGATATACGGTAAGTAAATGTCTTATAAAAACACATCCCTGACTTGCCTTTGTTGTCATGAATATTGAGCAATGAATATTGTATCTTTGCTTCATCTGTGTCTCTACAGATCCAGAGTATTACTGATTCATCCCGTGGGTCTATCCGCCGTAAGAACCCGGCCGCTGTGACCACCCAGCTGAGTGTGACCGAGGACCCGCCAGCAGCCAGCAAGGAGGAGAAGCCTGAGGAAGAGGTAGACCACAGTTGACCTCAGCTTGAAGTGAAAAGTCTGTTTGTATGATTATGTGTAGGTTGTTAAACACAGAATGAGCAAGAAGAGAAAAAAGTGCCAGATTGTGCGGTGAGATACAACCAGAAACACAAGTTTTAAAGTCATAAAAGAATCCACATGATAAACAAAAAGTGGACAATATAGTAGAACACAACATAATGTAAAGGACAACTAAGAAAAGTAGTGTGGTGTAATAGAAATACAAAAAAAAAAAGTAATAATAAAGAAGGAGAAGCAGAAGAAGCAGAAAATTATTTTTTCACTCAGTTTTTTGTGCACACACATTGGAAATGCTGCGGCACCCGGGAGCGATTATGGGTTTCCATCCAGTTTTAAATTTCTGTTGAACTGATTTGGTTTGATTCTCTAACTGCAGGATAATTTTAAGGTAATGTAATATAGATGTACTTTTTTCTCACCTCAATCACAACCAATGTTACAACAAAAGAACCCACATAATATGTAGACTTAACAACGTAAGGCTCCCTAATCACACTTTTCTTTCCTCCCCCCTCTCAAACACTGTGGCTCTCTGTGACTTTACCTGCATTCCCACATTTTCACCTCAATCGTGACTCTTTCAACCTTCCATGTTGTAATGTACATGTAAATCCACATCCGTCCTCTTTTCCTCTCGTCTCATAGTCAAAGTCGGCCTCTTCCCCTGTGTCCCCCCCTGCCCAGGTCCAGCTCATCCACGACAACACCACCCCAACCAGCCCCACAACACCGGCCACCCCGCTGACCCCTGCGGAGGGGGCTAAGAGCCCCGGAGAGCAGGTCCAGATGACCTGGACTGAGAAGTGTGACGGCGAGCCAGCCAAGCCGCCTGGTGCAGCTACACCAGAGGGCATCAAAGACATCTTCAACATGAAGCCGTGAGTGCTTTGAAATGCTCATTGAACCCTTACCTGTCATAAAGGTGAAGTACCTTCTTGTTCCTGACAAAAAGAGCCCTGAGTCTCTGCAGTCTTTTTTTTCTGTACAATAAAGCACCGAGAGAGAGAGAGAGGATGCTGCTAAAGGATTTATACGGTTTTTGAATTTGGAATTAGGTTCATAAAAAAAAAAAAACATTCGTAGTTTAGTACTGATTATCATGTGTTTCTCTTCCTGCCATGCTGCAGCGAGTGGGAGAACCTGTAAGTATTGAAGTCCCTATAAACCTCATTCAGTCCATTCACATCTCATACTGACCAAGTTGGCCACATGAGCAGATGAAGATTGAATACTTGTGTGTGAATGAGCGTCTGTCACCTCAAACAGCTTAGTATCATAAATGCTTCACAACATGCTTTGAAACATCACATACCGAGGTCTTAATCAATAGTTTGACCACGTTTTCTGTTGCTTTGTCTTCATTCAGGAACCAGTCCAATGTGCGACGTATGCACACAGCGCTCCGGCTGAATGAAGTCATCATCAAAAAGTCCTCAGAGGCCAAGCTAGTCCTCCTCAACATGCCCGGGCCACCCAGGAACCGGACAGGTGACGAGAACTGTATCCTTCACTGGACAGAAGTAGGTTTACTGAGAGGAGTTTGTCATATGTTAGAGACACAGTAATAAGTAAGTAATAAGCTTTGACAATGTTGACTCACTTGCACTCTACAGTAAAATATCAGGATGCCTCGCAGGCAGTTGTAGGTACCTCTGATTTTGGGGGCTCAATAAAATTCATACAAATAAGACTGAAAGTTTAAAATGCAGTTGAAGGAATCCGTATTAGTGGATGTTTTTTATATGAAAAATATCTTTTAAAAAAATGAGACACATCGGTCACAGTCTCATTAGATGTGGGTGTGGGGTTACACCTACCGAATGTCACTTTGGCATTAATACCCAGTGCTGAGGACTATTGATATACTGACCTACGTAAGACTTAATAACTTAATAAACAAAATAAAAATAAAATTTGTAAATTGACATTCAGGTGGTGTGAAAAACAGAGAAACGTTTAATAACTCTCTACAGATACAATCAAATTCAGTTTAAGCCTCTAGGCCCTTGCCTACTCCAGGAATAAACTTGGATTTTGTGTTTAAAGCAGTAAATGGTAAGTTAATTGACTTGGTTTCAGAAATAAAAATATTTTGTTATAATTTTTTGTTTTATTCTTTTGAATTACTCTTTTCTGTCAGTTAAAGTTTAGTATGTAAAACTAATGACGAATGTTTCCTGTAGTTTCTTTAACTCCTCTTTACCAGACATGGAGTTCCTCGAGGTCCTCACTGAGGGTCTCAACCGGGTCCTCCTGGTCCGCGGAGGCGGCCGCGAGGTTATCACTATCTACTCCTGAAAGAGCAGTCCCCTCCCCAACTACCACCCACCCCCACCCCTCCCTTGGCCCTGTTCCTGTGTCACCTGTACTCCCACCCTCTCTTCAACGCTGCTTCATCATCATGTTGCCCATGCGTTTATTTCTGTAAGATAGTCCTCTCACACCCAACCAACGGCCCGGCCCAGCTTCAGCACCTCTCCCTCAGCTCCATCCCCAGCAGACCAATGAGCAGTATCACATGCTCAGCCACCAAACCCTTCATTCAAGTCCAATAAGCTACTATAACTTTCGTAGGCTCTAGACTAATTTAGATGCTATCTAGATTTGTTCTTGAAGAGACTTTTATTTTCTTTGCTAGTCTGTAATCTACTGTAGTAACTCGTATTGAGTCGGAGTCACTCGGTAAGGAGGAGGTGGTGGTTGCGGGTCATTCGCTGAGGTGTGAGCGCACATGCATGTTGTGTGTCCGTCTTTGTTTAAATCTCTGCAGATTCTTTTTTTTTTTTTTCAAATACTAATGTGGCATAGCAGCGGCTTCTGCTTGGAAAGAACGAGAGCCAGCTGAAATGAGCTCAGTGTACGATTGTCTGTTTGGTTCCCTCGATGTGATCGGACACCTCCCGCAGCGCTCCCAGCCTGTTGTCTTTGATGTGATTTATCTTTCAAGGCAAAAAGACACTGCTACCCACGGTCAGGACCACCAGCTGGAAGGAGGAGAATAGAGTCGTTAAGTATGAACTGTGAAATTCACATTGATATTCGAAGAAGACTGAAAAGTGGATCAAACCTTCGGTATTATCTTTACTGATCATCTGATCACTCCTTAGCATGACATCCTTATAACTGTGTGTGATTTTACCTCACTTGTTCTGTTACTGCCATCACCGTCTTTCTACCCATTTCTTCTTTCAGTTCATCTCTTAGTGGCTGTTTATCCCTGTGGCCACTGTTAGTGCCAAAAAAAATACAACAAGGCTAGCTTAGTCTGTAGAGATTGACACGTAATTAAACTGTGAATAGTGCGTTTCCTAGCAGAAGGCTGGTGTGACAGCAGAATGGGGAGACAGTACAAAACCCCCCACCCCACCCCCGAGGAGATTATCATTGCCAGCACCCCTCGACCCTCGTGTGGATCACTGTAAATAATGTACAAGCTCTGACGCGTTGTTCAGTATGAGTGTAGTATTTTTGTGACATACTAAAAAGCTTCTAGTGGAGAGAAAACGCTCCTTCGCTCAGAGGGACAGCTGTTTTTAAAATTTATTTATTTATTTATTTATTGGATGGCATAGGCTCCTGTCACTACGGTAACTGTCATTGTAACCTCGACAAGCACTGCACCTGCACTGTCCTCCACTGTGCAACAAGTGAAATTTTGATGAATTCATCAAGTTCATTAAATACAAAAAAAAAATACTAAATGTTATTTTTTCATCTAGAGAACAAATATGTATTTATGTTTATAGACAGATGTTACACATGTAGAAAATAATAGTTGTGTCATTTTGATTGTCACTCAAAGATATATTGTTGTTTTGCCTAATTTAGATACATTAAATGTGCCATATCAAAGTATTTTTCAAAGAGAAATAGTGAACAAAAATTCTATTGCTTAAATCAGAAAGAACAAAGTATGGTAAAAAAAGAAACTGAGGTGTCTGCATGAAACTAGTACAGTGATGACACTGTAGTTGGAAGGTCGCCCTATAGATGATAAAAGAATAGATGTTCAAACCTCCATAAAACTACTATCGCTCAGATTTCAAATAGGCATATCAGCTCTTACCGAGGTGAGATTTTGAACATCTATGGACCGATTGTTTATAGGGTCTAGTCTAAATAAATAGAGAGGACAATGGCTTCTGTAGCTAGGAAACTCACTTTGTCCACAAGACTGAACTCTATGCAGTAGACTCTCCAGTGAGATTTTATATCCTCTAGATTGATTAAGATTTGAGCCACACATGTCCCTGACTGAATGACTTGTGAGCAAATCATATTTAGGTTTAAAAGGAAAAAAGTGCATCTTGGAAGGAATGTGCAATAGTTTGAAATCCGGACTCATGTGATCATGTTATTTATTTTTTTACACATATATTTTGTATATGTAGATTTCGTAAGTCTTTAAAACAAACAAAAAAAATCCAGATTCATCTCACTCTGACCAAGGACAGCTGTCACTTTTACTTTGATTTGGTTTCTTTTTCTTGAAGAAACTGTTTTTGGTCATTTGCACTTGTAGTAGAAATATGAATATAAATAAATACGTATATATATACAGTATATACAATATAGGGAAGCAAAACAAATTAGTTTCTAGAACTATTTAAAAACCGTATTAAATGTTTTTAGTGTTGCTTGAATGTCTGACCATATGTTGTGAATGCTGCTAGTATCAATAGATTTATTTGTACTGTAAATAGAGATGACTAAAGCAACATTAAAGATCAAGTGGAAAAGGGTATAGACATACATATCAATGGTGGTGGTTGTCAAACAAGACAAGGCTGTACCTGTAAACATTTGGCCTGTGACCTCTGAACAGGGTTAGCTTTCTGTTTTATTAGAAAACTTTACTGAATACCTTGATGCAATATTACAACTGAGGGCAAATCCGACACTTTTTTTTTTCTTTCTTAAATGCTCTCTGGATTAGTACCTTCTTTAAATCCCGTAAGTAAAGTGAACCAATTTTAAGATAACAGGTTAATTTCACGTAGTTTACTTAAAGAAATTTGAAGGAGCCACCAAAAAATAAGTTTAAATATTAATATTTCTGGTTTATCTGCTAAATGTTACTGTTTGCAAATTTTTAACACACCTACCTTTGACACCTGTGATACTTAAGAAGCAGCCACTCCTAGTTTTCAAAGATGTTAGGGTGCCAAGTGATGAAGATTTTCTTTAATATACTTGTCGCATTTAACTCTGACCAAGGGGTTGTTTAACGCTCACATCAGTTTTTGAAGAACATGGCTTTTTTGGGATTGTCTCCACAACATTGCCTGCATCAACTGAGCCTTTTAAATTTATTCAAAAGAGAAGATATCTGATGTTTATTGGAGAAGTTTATTGGAAATGAATTTATTTATTGAATTATAAATGTTTTATAATTGCTGTTTGCATGGTACTATGTGGCAATATTTGTTTTAGTGGTTTCTATAGTGATGACTTACATGTTCAAGGTGCAGAGTGGGGTAAAAGGTTGTCAGATGTTCTCACTGAGGTTCAGATTTTGAGAACTCAGAAGTGTTTTCCGCTCAGTCGGCGACATGGCTAGACCTTGAAAACAAGTCTTTTGCAAAAAATAAAAAAAAGTATGAGTTCACTATATTGTTACTTGTTATATTTCAATCTTGCTCAAGTAGTCTTATGTAATAGGAGATTTTGAGTTTGCGAATGAATGGGCCTTCGAAATGGTCATTTCACCCTTGTAAATATATATCACTTAAGTCAGAGACACTGTAACCTACTAGTGTTGTCTTTTGTTGTACACTGTTCTATCACTGTGGACAAAGTCTTAGAGTTTTGTATGATTATGTGCAATATTGTTCTCACATTAGTCATTCTTCATTTTGTCACAGTTACGTTATTTCTTTTCTATAAACAACTGGAGGTGTCAGCAGTCATCTAATTTCATCAGAATGTTTGTCACCAGGTCTTACAGACAATAAAGATTTACAGTGTTTATCCCAAATGTGGCTGAGACAGAAAAGCACTTTACACTGAGGGGGTACTCTGTGACAGGATCAGTCTGCAGGAGTGAGGAGGGGGGGTCGAACAAGAGCCAGCCTAGCTCTGAACAGACTCTATCCCGCAGTGATCTCTGGTGGCACACGAGTGTATTACAGCCAGCTGTGAAGGTCTGACGGCTCAGACTATAAAATATGATTAATTTCCCATCAGCTTGCAGCAGTTTTGAACTGCAATAATCCAGAGACCTACCTGCTGATTTTGTTTACATCCAATCATTTGACATTTTAGCATGCATCACATACGTTCCTTTCTCTTGCCAAACTTCTTAAAAAAGAATAATAGTAACTGTTCAATTTATAGTGCTTGTCACTCAATCTGTGAGGTGAGCCTTCCCAGAATCCCTCCTCCACCTCCCCCACTCCCTCACCCCACCCCCACCCATCTGCCCCCCACCAAAATCCCTTGGCCTCCCCCATCCCAGCAACTAAAACCACCCCAGCTCTGTATTTTAAATGTGATTGCAGTATAATTCTGAAAAATGATCAAAGAATATAAAACTCGCGCTTCCAATTCTGGTTACCGGCTCTGCTTGGACAACACAAGATAGTCGACTTAGAAACCAGCACGTCCCCTCTCCCCCCCCTCCCCAAACTGATCCATGATTTAGATCAGATCCTTCGCCTGCACAACTGTAGCATGAGACACACTTGCCGGTGATCATTACCCAGTCTCCATCCTTAAATGGATATTAAGGGCTCTGAAACACATCTGTTACCGGGTTGAGGAGGCTGTCCTGTTCAGACACCAACAGAGAAAATAAACAAAAACAAATCCCAGATTATGGCAGCGAGGGCACCGTCTGTAGCTGAGATAAGATCGTACCCTTCAGTATATTTTCACAGAAGTGCATCAGACAGACGTTGCCTGATGTTGGAGGTAGAAACAACAGCTGCACTTATATTTTACACAGTCGATCTCTGGGAGTCAGATGAGAAGAACTCAAGTAGGCTATCCATGCAGTGCAAGCAGAGCCCCGCTCCAGTTATGTTGTGTAACTCAGTGCATGCATGCAATTACCCTGAACAAGGTGTATTGAAAATATATTGGGTGTTTGTGGTATAAAAGTATTTTTGTTTATATCAGTTAGAAACTTTTCTTTCTAGTAGTATGATTTATTTTTTTCTCTTTCCTTAGGACTGGCCAATCATTGTATCCAAGATGAATATTATTATAGTACAAGATTCTATTTTTTATGGTGGATTTGTTGACAAGGTCCTCTCATTGTGTCAAATATTACCTGCAGATGAACTGATTACCAAAGTATATTTCAGTTAACTACATAAATGAAAGTGTGCAAATGTGTGCTCCAGTGAATTAAACGCAGACGATATATTTTACTTTCTTACGAAAAAAGATTGTAGCAATTATTAGTTAATAGATCAAATGTATTGTTTCAACATATTAAAATTTAGACAACTGGAAGTGCCAAAGTATTCCAAGGGAGGCTGGTAATCCAGTTTGTTGGACGTTGCATGAAAAAGCCCAAACTGTAAATTTACCCACTTTTCAGTCTGTGGATCTATTCAGTGTATTAAGTATAAATATTAAATTGTTCTTTTATGTCCCTCTTTGACCGTTTTACAGATTAGGTTATATCTTGGTTTGACTGTTGCCAGGAAACCAGCAGACTCCATGAAGTTACTGGTACAGTCTGGTTCAAAAACTCCTCATAAAAACAACAATTTATTGTTTTTACTCTTCAGTTTTTATATGGCTTAAAGAAATGTTTTAATTATTGAGCTTCAGAGGTGTAGATAGCGTATTCTGTTATTGGACAGAACCAGGAGAACTGTATCCAGTCTTTGTGCTAAGCTAAGTTAGCCGGCTGTGGGTGGCAGCTTCAAATTTATCCAACAAACATAAATGGTATCGATCTTCTCATTTAAGTCTTGGGAATAAGAGCATTTCCACCCTAATGTCTTTTACCGTGAACGCTTTATGGCCTTTGAAAATGCAGTATTTAGTTTAATAACCACCTCCCTTAAGAGGAATCTTGCGTTTAACTCACTGGAGTTGTGGGAAACATTTTGTATGGATGCCTGAAAAATGTAATGATGTAGATATAGATGATATATACAGCATACACACAAAGACACACCTGTATCAAATTTCAGATATATGAAAATGTTTTGGTTTTTTTTCCATTCAGAACCGTTCATTACTCTTCCTTGATACTGTACCTAGTCTTATGGTAAAGACGTAGTGTGTTCCTTTCAGTTCTGTGGGAGTGTGTATGTGTGTACATGTGCACTTGTAACCGCTGGGGCGGGGGTGGGAGGGGGCTACGTGTAAATAAATCAAATACAGTTAGTGTGGAGGTGTTTCTTTTGTGTCAGTGTAAGTTAAATATTCTAAAATAAAAAAACATGTATTATTCTCTATTGTGTTTCATGGTACATTAAAAAGAGGAAAAAGTAGTTTTATCTTACATTTCAAATGCTTATATCTCTATGGCTTCTGGCGATACCCGTTCCATTTTATAGATTTGTCAGCACAAAATGCAATAAACCAATACCATTTTATTACAGTAATTGTGTCTTGAGTTTTTAATCATTTCTTGTTTTGACAATGGAAATGTTATAAATTTAAAAGAAACTATAAAACAACAGATCTTCAATGAAAAAGTTCATCATAAACCAAAATATACTTCACACACATCAAACTGTATAGTTTAACTCACATGTAAGAAGAATGAATATTGATCTTCTAGCTGGTTAAAATACAGAACTGTAGGTGGTCTGGACAAGTTGTCAAATTCAATTAGCTGAATGAAATAAAATCTTAAAAGCTTTTACAAAACATCTGTCTACCATCTACTTACATATACCTGGTAAATTCACTGCACAGACTATTGATGCGTTATCTATTTATGTCATTAAACAAACTGGAAGGGACATTTTCTCTAAAGGAACAAACAGCTGTTGGATTTGTATGAATTAATTTACCAAATATGCTACATCACATGTTTCGTTGCTCTGATTGGTTGTAGGTCAATCCAACTGCGTCTGGAAGCATTTCGGTCTGCTCACTTCATATTGCCCCTTGGAAATCTAAAATGGGCCGAGTGGTTCCAGTTCACATTAGGAGAAGTAATCAGTAATGTCGAGGATACATGGACATAGGCGGGACCTGGCCCATGCCAGGTGCTGCCCTAGGAGGTGGCTGCTGAGAGGTGCCGGTGCCCATCGGGTGGTTGAGAGATGGTCCGCTCTGAATGAGCGTGTCCAGAGCTTTCTGTACACTTGGGTTGTCAAAATTGATACCTGAAGCAGAAGTGGGGGCTCTTGGACCACCTGGTGCAACTTGAATGCGGCCTGGTGGGGTACCATAACCCTGGGATCCAGATGGGAGGCCAGGCATGGCTTGGCGGGGTGGATTCTGGGAAGAGTGCTGACCAAGAGAGCCATAGCCCTGCGACTGGGAGGCGCCAGACAGACCACCAGCGCCTGCTGACACCCCGCTGTTGAACAGGCTCAGGATTTTAGCCTGCAAGTCCTGCTGATGGCTGGGGTTAGCTGGAGCACTGGGACCAGCTGATAGGCCGAGGTGGCTGGACTGTTGGGGGGCGTGAGCAGAATGCGATGGAGGAGGCAGTCCCACAGCAGAGGCTGTAATGTCGTGGTGTGCTGCCGCAGGAGCTGCAACATGGACTGCAGCTGTAGGGCGACAGGTTCAGTTAGTTTGCTCTGCTAACAACAATACTGCAATAGAAGAGGACATTTTAAACTGTATGTTAAAATATTCACATGCCAGGATGCACAATTTTGAAAGCACTTTAGGAAGGATCTCTTCAGGGCCAGTATCACAGGAAGGTTGAGGACAGACACCAAATACTCATACGGGCATGTGGGCAATATCTCAGGAACAGACCTATCCTTTAATATGACACTTTTTCCTCCTACCTGTAAGAGGTTCTGCAGCGCTTCGTAGAAGCCGGGCTCTTTTGTCCTTCAGGTACGCAATGAGGCCATCCAGTTCCTCTGGGGTTATAAATCTACCCGGCAACCACACAGAAAGAAAATCATTATTTCAAGAGTGGAGATTTTTTAAAACAATGGTGAAAAGCCAAGGACAGATTGAGTTTTACAAGATAAAAAACTTACACTACATAGTAAATCCAAGTAATAGTAAATCCAGATATTACACTTTTAGACAAAGATATTAAAACTGTTTTATACCTGTTTTCAGACAGCAGTGTGACAGTGGTGAGCACTGAAATGGGGTGGCTCTCTCTGTCAGCCTCCCTGAGTAACACATCATCCGCCATCTTGGCAGCCTTTCTGGCGATCTCCTCGCGCTCTTTTTCCCGGTTTTCAACTTTGTAGGTGTCGTAGTTGTGGGCAACCAGCATCATAGCATCCTGCATCGGCATGTTTCGATGCTCTACGACAATAAAAAAAAACAACAACAACGTTGGCATTGGGAACAAAACAGATGCACCTTTCCTCTTTACTTTTGTATCGACCAGGAGAGACCCCAACTAACAGTTTCAATTTGTGGTCTTGCCTCACCTTGCGGTGTGCCGAACAGGATGTTGACAGTGCAGGACCGGTGGACTTGGTGCTGCTGGGTAATGATGATGGCAAAGGGAGTGCGGGCTCTGCCTACATCCTCCAGTGCCTGGGTTAGTGACACTTCTGTGTTGAGGAAGATCAGATCCACCACCATCCCCAAATCACGGACTTTCCGCCCGACCGTCTCAGCATACTCCCTACAGTTGTTTTTGAAGCACAAGCACACACGGGCAGACACACACACACACGGGCAGACACACACACACACCACACACACACACACGGGACAGACAGACACACACACACACACACACGAGCGATATGAAATGAAAACATTCCATGTACCGATCAAATATTTACAGATGCGTTTCTGGTCCCAGATCTGTGTTTCCTGTAAAGAACGGAGAGTGGACATACTTTTGTGCCTTGTTGACGACAATCACAGAGCAGTCAACAGGACGGTCGGTGTCGTAGCGCCGCTGGAGTTCTTCATAGTACTGTCGATACAATTCATTACGCCGACGCTCTTCTGGTCGAGCACGATCATCTACAGAGGAGGAGGTGATTGTAAATTGTAACGTCGGTATAATTTTTAGCACTTGAATACACCTTCAATAGTTTAATACTACAGATAAACTGGGAAACAAGTATATTACGTAGTATATAATACTACTCCAAGGTGGTTGAGTACAGAGTACACATACCCTCTGGTTCACGCCGTCCGTTCCAGGGATCTCTGTAAGGGTCCCTGTAGGGTTCATCCTTCCTCCGGTAGTAGTCTTCAGCACCACTGCCACTGCGGTAGTATCGGTCATAGTCACTTCTGCTGTATGGAAACATGTCAGGTTCAGACAAACATGTAACCACTGAACTAGGAACTAGGAACTAAAGGGTTGATTGTCATTAGTCACCTGTATGCAGGATCCCGTGAATCACCTCTGAGGTCCTTGTCTCTGCTCTCTGAGCTTCGGTACCGATAATCGCTGTCACGAGAGTGGCTACCTGGCCGCGGCTCTCTACTTGGGTCCCTCCCTTCACGGCTGTCCCGAGGCTCACGTCCATCACGCCCGTAAACAGGTGAACGTGACCGAGGCCGAGGATCTTTGCTGTCCCCATAAGTGCTATACGGGGCCCTGGGAGAAAAGTTATCAATTAGTGAGTGGAAGGTTTAAGTTTATGTTGTCTATAAAATACTACAAAGTGATAGGAACTTCTGTCCACAACCAGTGAGGACAGGCCTACAGTTGGTACTGTACTGGGCTGGTGAGTGTAGCAAATCTACCAGCCACTTGCATATTTTACAACCATTTGGCTAGTGTTAATTTAATAAATTATAATTATTCAATATGAAAAGATGGAATATAAATATATTTCTACAACTCAAGCAGAGCAACAGAAAACAACCATTGTGTTCGTAAAGGGAACTAGCACAAATGCAGTCCAGGAGGGGATTCCGATAAGCGTCCTTTGAAATCGTCCAGTGATCCGTTTACGCAACAATATTGATTTGTCAGCAATTTCAGGTTCTTTGACCATAAACTACGCAGGTACCATGGCCATTGAACCTTTTGGATTGAGGCGGTTTATTTCCCGCATTTATCTCATTTGCCTTTTGATGATTTGTCTTTTGTTCTTCAGTAAGTCACGTTTCAACGCGGCAAATATGAAGTTGCAAAAATGCAAAAAATACACGTTTCAATTTTTCTCAAGAAAAAAGTGGATGGGTTTTTGCTGCCTTTAGGGTAGGACACAGAGGACCATTATTTACTAAAAAGAGGCTTCCCTACAATTCTTTGCTTGAACATATCTAAAAGAGACAAAAGGACTCTCAGTTTCAGAAGTTGTCAACAGTTCTTTGGTTCTCATCGAAGTGTATGTTTTGCTTAATTCTCATGATTTGTCTTCCCCTTGACCTCAAAACGTTTTTAATTGCAGTCAAAGAAGAGAGGAGAAAAGGGATTGGTTTTAAACACAACTTGGATTGAATAAAAATCTCAAGTGTCTAAATTGCAAGCTATGAACTAATTACAGTTCCACCACACAGAAGAAACAACGCTTCAACTTCAGTCAGTAAGACCCACAACAACTGGCCAACATTGGTAATGTGCTTTTTTTTTTTTTATAAAAAGGTACCCTGTGAAGTTTATGACCACAAGTAGCACAATGGAGCAACGTGCAGATTACAGGATACAGTTCTACCAAATACGAAGAGTTTACGTTATTTCACTGGTTGTCATGTGTTCATGACATACTTCAAAGAGTACCTTTACATTTTATTATTATTGTAGTTGCCTAAATCAACATCTGTTTTTTAAAACATGGTTGGCTTTAGGGCAGCTGTTCTTTAGACTAAATATGGTTTTAATGTACACACCTAATTAGTTACAGGCCATGCTGTAGGACATGAACCTGCTCAATAGATATGGGGCAGGGTGGGACTGACATTACATTTCCTTCAGCCGTAAAGTTACGTATTTGTTTTAGAAAATGAAATGCAGGACAAAATCACGCAGAGAACACAAGCGCTGAAAAGATCTATTGGTACGCCAGCTTTCATCAAGTGGACTTCACCACTGGTAGAAATAAAAGCTGAGGAAAAAGTTATACGTTTTGGGGTTTTTGGGGGGGGGGTGGGGTGGGGGGGTGGTTTACCCGCAACTTAGAGGCAATGGAAGTTCTTCACACCCATTTCGCGTTACTTTACCTTCGTGGAGGGCTCTGCTGGGATTGAGGTTTAGCTTGCCGTCGCTCCACTGCCATATTTACATCTGAAAATAAATCAATCCAAACGTTGAACATAACAGTGACATGTAAATCAGCTTATGCGCTCACGCAGAATGGACTGGCCGCGCCAAAACATCCACGATCCAAATGAGCTCCAATATCCAAGCTTGAAAATCCAAACTGGACGGGAGTCAAAATGCAGAAAATTGAGTCGAGTTTCGAGACTCAAATTGAGTTTCAGATGAACAAATGATGGAATGAAATTAATCAATTATTTTGTCCCCTGCGAAATTGGCTCACATTAGCAAAGCTTGAACTTCAACTTTGGCATTCACAAACGCGGACACTTAAATCCAAGATGAGAAAAATTCTAAGACAGTGTTGCAAATAAAATTTGAAATGTCAAAGATTCAGGCTTTGCAGCAATTTAATAATGCACTTGTTTTATGTCTATAAAAAGAAAGGTCTAAGTAGAAAATTAGCAAAGCTAATCTAGTCCAATCTAATTTGGTTTGAGGTTAAATTATATACAACCTACACTTTGTGAACTTAGTTGTGGGCAAGCATAGAGTTCCACTTTCATCTACTGGATGCAACATATCACAATCACATCATTAAATTGGTGTTTAACATAACAGATCATTTTAGCCCTGTACTTATGGTCCAGTGTGTAACATTTAGGAGGCTCTCTTGTTAGAAACGGAATATAATATTCATTCGTATGTTTTCATTAGTGTGTAATCACCTGAATAGAGGAATCGTTTTGTTTTCATTACCTTAGAATGAGCTGATTCCATCTACAGACACCACGGGTCGCTTTGGAGGAGTCCACGTCGTGGTGGCACTCAGACGCACGTTATTTAAAATTACATAATGATCATCTAGTCTCTCAGTCAAGGGTTAACAATGGACTGACATTGACTTTTGATTAAATATTGAATTTAAAAGTTGATTAACTCAGCATTCTGGGCAATATGGTTGCACATCTCTCAGTTAATAACCATCAAGTATTCAGTCAAGCATAATACTAACAATAATAATAGAAAATATATAAAAGGAAATATGGAGGAGCCAGTTTGAATAAGCTTGATGCAGATATTAACGATTAAATACCAGGCAGCAGAGCCAGATCTCAGTTTTTAGTATTTATTATTTTCTACATTTATATTTTCTGTTAATATTCAGACATAAATATTACTTGTTTATACCTCATTCTGTTTGGATGGCAACCTAGCAGAATTTTGCTTAGGGCCCCAAGGAGGTCAGGACCAGCTCTGGGCTGCAGGCCACCGTACTTTCTCCTTCACACTTCACAGTCTGGTTTTCATTGCCAGGTCGTCAAATACAACCGTATTCAGTTTGTTGCAATCTGACACTTCACCGCTAGATGCCACTAAATCCTACACACTGGTCCTTTGACTAAATGAATAAAGGGAATCTCTAGCTTTCAAAAAAACCATTGGTAAAGTGTTTATCCTTAAAATAGAACAATGGATAATTTCTCTTTGCTGGTGTTTTAAAACCACAAAAAAGGATTATCTTCAGGATTAACACCATCATGCCCAATCTAGGCATGTCCCGATACCATCAATTCAGTAGTCGATACCAATACCAGTGAAATTCCACGATTCTCTATAACAATTAAATACCAGGGTAATTTTTTTTGCCCCCAATCCCCATTTAATATCCGCTGATACTGAATCCAATACTTGTATTTTTTAATAATTCAGATGAATAGCTCTGCATAGCATTAAGGGGGGAAAAAACCTGCAAAAAGCTGTTCCTTAATGTTATACATTTATACATTTCATACTAAATAACTAAAAGTCTAACAAAGTCTATCTTGTAGCTATTCGGAGGAAATTTCTCTCTCCCTTTAAAAAGTGTCCTGCAGAGTTTGTTGCTTCAGTGCAGCCGTTACACGAGTTACATGACTGAACTGTATTCTGCTGAGCGCAGCGGAGCACTGTGCACGAAGGTTTTGTTAGTAAATGAGGTTCTTATCGATCCTGGTGGAGCCTCCTGCCATGGTGCTGCTAGATTGCCATTGCCAATACTGTTGTTGCTGTCTGTCTGTCTGTCTGTCTGTCTGTCTGTCTGTCTGTCTGTCTGTCTCTCTGTCTGTCTGTCTCTCTGTCTGTCTGTCTCTCTGTCTGTCTGTCTCTCTGTCTCTCTGTCTCTCTCTCTCTCTCTCTCTCTCTCTCTCTCTCTCTCTCTCTCTCTCTCACCCCAACTGGTCGAGACAGACGACCACCTACCTAGAGCCGAAGGGTCTGTCCTAGGTTTCTGCCTTTTAACAGGCAGTTTTTCCTTGCCCTTGTTGCCAAGTGCTTGCTCATGGTGGTACTGTTGGGTCTCTGTAAATAATGTTATAAAGAGTTCGGTCTAGACCTGCCCTATTTGAAAAGTGTCCTGAGCTAACTTCTGTTATGAATTGGCGCTATACAAATAAAATTTAATTGAATTGAAAATGATCTGTATAGCTGCGCTTGTTGCCGTCTTCAACATGTTCTTTTGTGGCATTTAACAGCCGACTACAGTATTTATAGGAATATAATTTTCAGAATTTTGGTATCTACTTGGTACCGAAGTATCGGTTATCGTGACATGCCTAGCCCAATCAACATTTTCCACAGAAAAAGGAAAAACTGAAGTATGTTACGTTGCTCGTTGTGCACCAATAACAATCTATCTTCTTTAGCCACACACCTACTGTAGTTAAGGCTTACCTATTTTATAACCTTTATATATTCGACCCTTTTGGGCAGCCTTTGCAGCTTCGGCTTCCTCAATGCGTTCAAATTGTACAAATCCAAACCCACGAAACATGGATACGCCTGGAAGAGGAACATTTTGAGTGGTAAAAAGGATCATTTTGAAGAACATTTTGGATACCTACCCATTTACCCACTTTAAAAATGATTTGTGGGCACATCATTACAAATTTTACATGCTTGTATTTCATGAAAAAACACGACTCAAGTTAATGTTACTAAGTCTCGCACTTCAGGTTGCAAAATAAATGTTTTTTTCCCATCACCTAAAAGGCTGGAGATGTTCAAATTTATATAAATTAATTATAATCGACAACTTATTTGCGTTTACTGACCGACTATCTTCCCGTACGGGGTGAACAGGTCTTCCAAATCCTTCTTTTCCATGTCGGAAGTCGGCAAGTTCCCAACAAAAATTCTTCTCTCCAAATCTCGGGGATCATTACTGCTGCAGGAGCGTGAATAACGCCCTGGTGATGAGCTGCGGCTTCTTCGGCGAGACATAACTCCCAAGTTTAATGGTTTCTTTCTTCGTATGTCTCAAATGCTTGAAAAAAAATGTGTTCGTTAGCGTCTTTAAATTGTCGTCCACGATCCTGAAACATGTCAGTGAATTAAGAGAAGAGATCAAATTCCTTGGAAGGATAAAAAGTTTAAGTAAGCAGTAGTTGCAGGTCAAAGTCACATCAAAGTTTAGACAATGAAATGCTGTGGCAAATTCATTTTGAAATGTAGCAAACATTCATATGCTGGTTAAATCGCAAATTTTTCCGAAACGTGTTAAAAAAACATTTTTGAATGAGTCCCTCAGATTTCTGGAGCTCATTTGCTTTGCAGGATATTATTCTATTTTACTCTGCATTGGACCTTTATGTATGTGAGAGTTGCCATTATGGCACAAGGGACAGTACTGGGACATCAATGTATGATTATTAATGCTGAGTATATAACTAACTGCAAATCCGCTATGCAAATTCGTTGATGCAATGGACGATTTTTCCCTTGTGAAAGGTTTCTGATAAAATCTTGTTTGAAGCAGTTGTTCACTCGGTCCAGAGGTGTTCAACAGGCAGCGAATTGTGTTAACGTCTATATATTTCCCAACACAGACCAAATTCCACGTGTATCTGTTTGGGTTACGTTCATTCTCGGTAATGCATTTCCAAGATTGAAATCTTGAGGCAAAAACCGAGAATGAAAGATGCAGTCTGTCTTAATAAAGCTAGACATTTGAGGTGATGTAAGCCAACGCGATCCTGAAGCGATTCTCATGATGAGAACTTTGTCCTAGGAGGTATATCCGGTATAAATGACACACCTGTAGAGAATGCACCATGATATAAATTTGCTACCTAATTTGTTCCAGTATAAAACAGATGTAACTATGACATAAAATGCACCACGTTTCTTTGCTTCTTAACCAGTGAAAACACGCTTCCTGACCCGTTTTAAGTTAACAGGCCATAACAGCTGTTTCAGAAAGTGTTCCTGCGCAGACATAAATAGCTGAACTGGTTGTGTGAAACGCTTTGAGTCGATGATGAAAACACAGTGCGGTTGTTGTTGTTGTGGGTCAAATAGCATTGATACCCACAGAGATACATACAGCATCAACTCTCCGGTGTGAAACTCTGCTTCCACAATTTCAAAATGGACTCTTGGCAATAAAAAGTTACAATTCCAGAGTCAGGAATTCAAAATGTTCCCTAAGTTTTAGAGTCACACTGTCCATCCCATCTTTGCTTTGTGTAGCTGATAAGTTGCCCCGTTAGGTCTGTAGCTGTGCAGACAACAGTTTTCAGCAAATAGAAATGCAGCATATCTTCAAATAATCTTCTTCTCTTGAAATAATAAAAATGTCTTGAGGAAAATTTACATTAATGAAATGAAATTATACGCTTACAGCAACCATGAAAATGCAAAAATCTAAATTTTTTTTTTTTTTTTTGCTCAAACCAGCGTTCTCAAAAAGGGTTAAACTGATGTTGTACGTGGCCTAGGTGGCACAATACAAAATAATTTACTTTACAAACTGATATAAGAGAGTGAAGACATTTGTGTTACATTATATTTAAGGTTGGAGGAAACGTACATCATTATTTTTATGGAGCAGCCCCACAGCTTACATACCTTAACTTGAACCTGGACGCCCTGGATTCTGTGTCCACATAATTAGAAACCCCCAAAGCGTCTGAAAGGAAAACAAAGAGTCATTAATCACTTTACACAATCACCTGAATCCGTATTTAGTCTATGCATAAAATCAATATATTATTTTATCCAATTTAGAGGCCTGCACCTGCACAGACATTTCACTCCACCTCTCCCGGTTCCTGTAGCCTATATTACCGTAATGCATATGGTAACCATGGTGAAGGTTACAGCCAAACTAGTTAAATTATGCCCCAAATAATCGTAGAGCAACCAATTTTAGTAGCCGATTTAGTTACAGAGTAACTAGTGTGTTGACTTTGGAGAGAGCCTACACACAGCTGGTGCAACAGGCTGCTGGTATGTGTGTGAGACATTTGTACAGGAACACTGAACATTAAATAACATTAAATGAGACCCGACTGATCCTCAAAGAACTCAAAGTGGACTAAAACTCTTGAGTAACAATGAAAAATATATATTAAATTTAAGATAAGAGGAGAAATTAAAGTTTGAAACAGCAGCCCTGGGGAATTTAATAGTAAAGAAAAGTGAAAAACTAAAAGAAAAACATAATAAAGCAATAACAGGAAATATAAAAACTATAATTAAAGTATATACACTATATGCAATGTGCAATAGAGTGAAATATGGTGTGCAGTGTGGTCACTGAACATGTGCAATTGTTACAAGGTAAATTTATGCAAAAAGAGTTGCGCATGAGGTTAACACACACACACACACACACACACACACACACACACTATTTTTTTACACATTTCAAACACACACACACACACACACACACACACACACACACACACACACACACACACACCTGTGCGCTGACAGTGATGATGCTGCGATGTACGTGTGGCTACACTGACGTCAGCTGTTAGCTACTTAGCGTTAGCTCGAGACCCAACGGCGGAGTTAGCTTCGCAGTTAGCCACCTAGCTCCGTTAAGGAACACGGTGCACGGCACATGTCGTCATTTTCAAAAACCAAAATAAAATAAACATAATATTTTAGAAAAAACACGCGTTTACTCACCTTCAACGTGGTTTTGTGTCTCAGGTTTAGAGAAAAAAAAAAAAGACAAAGAAGGAAAAACAACACAGGGGAACCAAACCCAAAAAAAAAAAAAAAAAAAAAAAAAAAAAAAAAAAAAAAAAAAAAAAAAAAAAAAAAAAAAAAAAAAAAAAAAAAAAAAAAAAAAAAAAAAAAAAAAAAAAAAAAAAAAAAAAAAAAAAAAAAAAAAAAAAAAAAAAAAAAAAAAAAAAAAAAAAAAAAAAAAAAAAAAAAAAAAAAAAAAAAAAAAAAAAAAAAAAAAAAAAAAAAAAAAAAAAAAAAAAAAAAAAAAAAAAAAAAAAAAAAAAAAAAAAAAAAAAAAAAAAAAAAAAAAAAAAAGCTTTATAGTGTATGTAACTTTGTTTATGTATAAAATGTGCTTTTTTAATATGAGCTAGTGTAAGGAGATTATTATGGTTTAGCATAAGGAGTATAGTTTAGTGTAATGTAAAATTTACCACCATGTTTCTTCACTTGAATGAAGCATGAATGAACACATGATGAGTGATAAATGCACCTTTCCTTTGAGATTCTGCATCATTATCATGTTCTCTGTATTCCAGTACAAAATCTCCTTTGAAGAATGAAGATAGGGCAAATACACCACGTCCTGTAAGACAAAGTAATACATTTTAAAAAAACAGGACATTAGAATGTTAATTAGTTGTGCAATATGTCCTAAAACACAATGCAATTATTAGTGATTTGATCAGTTTATTGACCTAAGTTATTAATGCATCCTGAAGTTTTGCAATTAAATGTTAAAATCATTTTCAATATGTATATGAAGTGAACATGCTGAAGGGCATCCTTAAGAGGACTGACCTTGTGCATTTAAAACTGCAGAGAAATGTTTAATGAGACAGCTTTGGCTTTAGTTTATTACAATACAATTAGAGGCTCTAAGTGAACATCCACACAGTGTTTTCAGTTATTATGGCTGATTAGACCTTGCTCAGGTTTAGGTGGGCTTAGCTTTGATGAAACTCCATGAGGTCACAAATCTAAATCTCCAATAGAATGGTGAAGGTATATTTTGTCCTGCCTAACAGGTGTGACAAAGCTGACAGAAGACTCAGGAAGATGTCAATCAATAAGTATACACACCCATACAGTCCCAAGAAGACTAATAATCAGCAAGATAAACTGAAAAACTGTGTGGGTGTTCAAGGCTTAGTCTATAACTTTTTCCCCATACTCGCCCTTTCCTGTCGGCTCAGTGTCAGATGCCTTCCTTCTTGCCATGCCCTATTCTAAATTATTCATTTTTAATAATAAAATAATATTAATAATTATAAGTAAGCTAAGTTTACTTTTTTGGTAGTAAAATCAATCAGACCCATTTATGTAGAGGAGGCATGTGGAATCACTTACTAGTCACTTTAAAGATACAAACATCAAATTGCAGCCTTGTCAAGCTCAGGTCCCAAAATACCTGTCCAGATGCACTTTTCTTAACATGGACAGCTTGCTTTAAATCATCAAAACATCTCTTTACAATTTTTCTATAATATATCTCACCTATATATACCTAGGATTAAGTTACACCTCTATATATTACTAAATTCATTACCTGGAAATGTATTTTAAATTTCTCTGTTACACACTGAAAAATATTTCACTTTTTTAGTTGGTATAAACTCCTTGAAATGCACAGAATCCATCCATCATGTAACAACTAACAGTAGCTTTCAGGAAAGCTAAAACATTGTTAGTAAACATTGTAAATTTGTAGTTACACTAGCCTTTGTTGCTAATTAAAGCTAACTAGCTCTCCTACTAACTAATTAACACTAATTAACCTCATTAGTGTTTAAAATGGTCATCTATACAAATAATGATTATAGCAAGTAAGTAAATAAGATAATATTGCTTACCTTGTGGTGTTGTAGTTCTCTTTTATTGACAAACATCTTTAATTGAAGAGCCTTTCGATGCTCCCTTTAAACACTGAAAATTGTGTTTGCTCCTAAAATCCTTCTTAATGGGGACCAGGAAGTGGGCGGTAACATACCATATTTGAAATCTGTGTGTGTGGAACGTGAGTGCCTTACCAGCTCATACAGTAAGGGCGAAGCATGCCCCGCACACACACACACTAACTGGAAAACATGCCCAATGGGCCAAAGCTAAAAACCACACAGGCACCTTCAGATAGACTCCTGCATTCATTTAAAAGAGTTTCCCTTTAGGGGACCTATTTTCGTCCCCATACTGTTAGAGGTCCCCATGACGTGACTGTGTAAACAGTTTGTTGTCCCCAGGACGGAAAAAAACCCAAACACACACACACACACACACACACACACACACACACACACACAACACCACCCCAACACCCCCCCCCCCCCAAAAAAAAAAAGGCGGAGAAAAAGGGGGGCCAAAAAAAAAAACCAAAAAAAAAAAAAAAAAAACCCCAAAACCCAAACCAAAAGAGAACCCCCCCCTAAAAAAAAAAAACCCCAAAAAAAAAAAAAAACCCCCCACCCCACCCCTCATAAAAAAAAAAAACCCCTCTCCCCCCCCCCTCTTTTTCGGTTTATAGAAGCTCAGGTGGACCCACAGCCTCGGAGATATTTCACGGTGCTCTCAGGAAAATGCTCTTCTTTTTTTTTTTTTATTTTTGGCGGATTGCAATATAAACTTTTAGAGGCATACCGCCACCTGCTGTACTGGAGTAGGTAGGACAGGAGTTACTTTACATTGGTCTTTAATAACAAAATAAATACATTATATTATTATATTTATCCGTTTACTGAGAAATGTATTACCTCTGTTTCCCCACACCGTATCTCTATTAATAATCATCTGTCCTCAAACATTTCTTCATCTGTTTGACAAAGTGCATTATTACGTGGTCCGCATAAAAGAAACCGTCTCTTATTTAGAGCAGTGTGATAAAACCTTAATCTGGATTATTTAGAGCAGTGTTATAAAAACCTTAATCTGGATAAAACTACCTCCTCCTCTTCCTTTAACGCTCTGTGCTCAAATGGTCTTTTGTACTTTATAGTTATAGCCATTCCCATATTCATCCAACTTCTTTTAGCCATCCTGTCTGCAGATTAATTACCCTCCAACATCCCACACGTGCATGTACAGAACAGGAAAAAAATAGTTTTTAATCTTACATTTCAAATTATAATTTTTTTTTATCTCTATGAATGTCGATGCGAAGTCCATTTTATAGATTTGTCAGCAGAGAAGGCAATAAATCAACACCATTTCAATACAGCATTTTATGTATTTAAGTTTTAATCATGTCTTGAATGTTACAAATTAAAAAAGACAAACTATAAAACACAACAGGTCACGGCTGGAAAAGAGTCAAACCAAAATATACTGTACTTTAAACACTTCATATCGAATAGTTGAACTCACATGTAAGAATGAATATTTATCTCAATAATTATCTTCTGGCTAATAATTGAAACTACAGATCTTTAGGTAGTCTGGACAAGTCATCAAATCTAAAGTAAATGAACACAATAACCAGAATTAAATAAAAACCTTGTAAGATTTTACAAAACATTCCGATAGTCTACCTATGCACAGCTGGGAAATTTGCTGAATTGATGCGGTGTCTATTTGTGTCAGTGGAAGAGGTGGACATCACATTAGGAGAAGTAATTAAATCACTACAGCCCGTCAGTAATGTCGGGGATACATGGACATAGGCGGGACCTGGCCCATGCCAGGTGCTGACCTAGGAGGTGGCTGCTGAGAGGAGCCAGTTCCCACCAAGTGGTTGAGAGATGGTCCGCTCTGAATGAGCGTGTCCAGAGCTTTCTGTACACTTGGGTTGTCAAAATTGATACCTGAAGCAGAAGTGGGGGCTCTTGGACCGCCTGGTGCGGCTTGAATTAGGCCCGGTGGGGTACCATAACCCTGGGATCCAGACGGGAGGCCAGGCATGGCTTGGCGGGGTGGATTCTGGGAAGAGTGTGGACCAAGAGAGCCGTAGCCCTGCGACTGGGAGGCGCCAGACAGACCACCAGCGCCTGCTGACACCCCGCTGTTGAACAGGCTCAGGATTTTAGCCTGCAAGTCCTGCTGATGGCTGGGGTTAGCTGGAGCACTGGGACCAGCTGATAGGCCGAGGTGGCTGGACTGTTGGGGGGCGTGAGCAGAATGCGATGGAGGAGGCAGTCCCACAGCAGAGGCTGTAATGTCGTGGTGTGCTGCCGCAGGAGCTGCAACATGGACTGCAGCTGTAGGGCGACAGGTTCAGTTAGTTTGCTCTGCTAACAACAATACTGCATTCAACAGACAAAAGTTAGTCTGTTTTAGTAAAGCAATATTTAAATTATATATTTCTAACATAGAAGTCCGTGTTGATAAAATATTCACATGCCAAGATGCACACTGAATTAGTTTTTGGTGGCTGTAACTCCTGCTTGCCATACGGGCAGAGAAAACATTTCTCACAATTCCAATGTGTGTGAGATGTGACAATATGTGTGAAAATCCAGTCTTCTGTATAGAAATACATTGTAAAAGTTGAGCTGAATTATACAAGGCTTCAGCAATCTGAGTTCCCACTAAGTCACTTTAGTGCAAAATTCAACAGACTGCATTTTCTTGCTGACCTGCATTTAGGGTGTAGTAACACAGAGGACATTTCATTCATTTTCATTTAAACTAAAAAAGACTAACTTTGGAAAATACCAAATGTCTAACTGAAGCCTTACATTAACTTCAACTCAAGTTTGGAAGTTGTTTTTGCACTGAATGATAACTTTGGAATCACCAACATTGAAATCACTTTAGGAAGGGATCTCTTCAGGGCCAGTATGGACAGGATGGTTGAGGACAGACACCAAATACTCATATGGGCATGTGAGTATTGTTTGACGAACAGACTTGGGAAAAAAAAATGTGAACCTATCCTTTAATATGACAATTTTTCCTCCTACCTGTAAGAGGTTCTGCAGCGCTTCGTAGAAGCCGGGCTCTTTTGTCCTTCAGGTACGCAATGAGGCCATCCAGTTCCTCTGGGGTTATAAATCTACCCGGCAACCACACAGAAAGAAAATCATTATTTCAAGAGTGGAGATTTTTTTAAAACACTGGTGAAAAGCCAAGGACAGATTCAAAGTTTTACAAGATGCAAACTGTAACTGAGGGACGACAAAAACTTACAATACGTTACATTCTCCACAGCTCAAAATTTTAACAGTAAATCCAAGATATTACACAACACTTTCAAACAAAGATATTAAACCTGTTTTATACCTGTTTTCAGACAGCAGTGTGATAGCGGTGAGCACTGAAATGGGGTGGCTCTCTCTGTCAGCCTCCCTGAGTAACACTTCATCCGCCATCTTGGCAGCCTTTCTGGCAATCTCCTCGCGCTCTTTTTCCCGGTTTTCAACTTTGTAGGTGTCGTAGTTGTGGGCAACCAGCATCATAGCATCCTGCATTGGCATGTTTCGATGCTCTACGACAATAAAAAAAAAAACAACAACGTTGGCATGTGAAACAATAAAAACTAAAATAACTGCTCCGTGGTTGTATGCCTCCAACAACCGGTCAAGCAGTAGTTTATATCCATGTCTGGCCCATAATATACAATACCACTAAAAAAGTGTATTGACGTTTTCCCTCTTTCCTTTAATAATGGCAATTTTAACAGAGAAACACAGTATAATTTAGACATCAAATATTATGACCACAATCGTTTGTCACAGTCACTTGTCCAAAAACATAACGCCTCCAGCCACGGCTGTCACCGGCAGATACACCTTTAAATCTTTGTCCTCTGTACTTTTGTATCGACCAGGAGAGACCCCAACTAACAGTTTCAATTTGTGGTCTTGCCTCACCTTGCGGTGTGCCGAACAGGATGTTGACAGTGCAGGACCGGTGGACTTGGTGCTGCTGGGTAATGATGATGGCAAAGGGAGTGCGGGCTCTGCCTACATCCTCCAGTGCCTGGGTTAGTGACACTTCTGTGTTGAGGAAGATCAGATCCACCACCATCCCCAAATCACGGACTTTCCGCCCGACCGTCTCAGCATACTCCCTACAGTTGTTTTTGAAGCACAAGCACACACGGGCAGACACACACACACACATACACACACGGGCAGACACACACAGGAGCGATATGAAATGAAAACATTCCATGTACCGATCAAATATTTACAGAGACGTTTCTGGTCCCAGATCTGTGTTTCCTGTAAAGAACGGAGAGTGGACATACTTTTGTGCCTTGTTGACGACAATCACAGAGCAGTCAACAGGACGGTCGGTGTCGTAGCGCCGCTGGAGTTCTTCATAGTACTGTCGATACAATTCATTACGCCGACGCTCTTCTGGTCGAGCACGATCATCTACAGAGGAGGAGGTGATTGGAAATCGTAACGTCAGTATAGTTTTTAACAGTTCAATACAATTTGAAATTGACTTAAAAAAAAAAAAAACCCAGTAAAAACAAAAACTGATACATGATGCCTTTCAAGTTTTTATTGTATTTTCCCCCACTGCTGTCTGGATTGACTTCGTATATGAACAACAAAACATAGATGACATGGCAACAGCGATGATGTGAAGTTACAGAGTATAATGTTACAGCTCAGGGAGCAGGTAAGCTAATCCTACATTGGCCAAGTAAACATTGGCTAAATTCCACCTGGCACAGTTTTTAAAACATTGCGACGGCAATGTGGTTTGGCGCTGTGATCTGCACATCTTCAAATCCCACTGAACGCATTTCAGAGGCGGAGTGCGTGTTGCCTGCCATATGTTTACTTGTGTATTTTGTCCTTAAAAAAAACGGATACAAAACGGTGTGTTTCTCCGTTTAAATCTCCTAACCTGCCTCTGACTGACTGACTACTGGCCTGGTACCACAATGTTAATCTGTGTCTGACTTCCTGCCACTGCCATCTGCCCTTTGTTGCTTGACACAAGTGGGTCGCTGCTTCTGTCAAAAAAAGACCAGCATTTGTATTCTGCAGCGGCGCTTCCGGTGGAAGTTGTGCAATACATTTTGCAATGAAATGGACGGATCAGAATGCAAATTTCATGGAATTTCATCTTCATTATCAACTCTGGTTTACTTTGGTTACTAAAAGGCCTTATGGTGTGCCCCCACATTAGGACTAGAAGGTAAAATGATACCCAAAGCTTTAAAAAAAAAATAATAATAATAACTACTTGTGGAATGTTAGAAAAAAAAAACTGGATAGAGTTTGATTATTAAAACAATTAGACATACCCTCTGGCTCACGCCGTCCATTCCAGGGATCTTTATAAGGGTCCCTGTAGGGTTCATCCTTCCTCCGGTAGTAGTCTTCAGCACCACTGCCACTGCGGTAGTATCGGTCATAGTCACTTCTGCTGTATTAAAAAAAAAATAAATGTCAGGTTCAGATGAACATGTAACCACTGAACTCTGGACTAGGAACTAAAGGCACCAATATTCAGTAGTCACCTGTATGCAGGATCCCGTGAATCACCTCTGAGGTCCTTGTCTCTGCTCTCTGAGCTTCGGTAATCAAGGTCACGAGAGTGGCCACCCGGCCTTGGCTCTCTACCTGGGTCCCTCCCATCACGGCTGTCCCGAGACTCACGCCCATCACGTCCATTACGCCCTTCTCGAGGCTCACGTCCATCACGTCCATCACGCCCGTAAACAGGTGAACGTGACCGAGGCCGAGGATCTTTGCTGTCCCCATAACTGCTATACGGGGCCCTGGGAGAAAAGTTATCAATTAGAGAGTGGAAGGTTTAAGTTTATGCTGTCTATGAAATACTACAAAGAGTGATAGGAACTTCTGTCCACAACCAGTGAGGACAGGCTTATAGTAGGGAATTGTAGACAGAGTGAGAAATGATTTTTTTTATTTTGTCCACTGGCCAAATGGCTAGTGTTGTTAGTGTTTTTTTGGCTGGCGAGCGTAGCAATCCAGGAGTTGATTCCGATAAGCGTCCTTTCAACAACGATCTTTTGAAATCGTCCAGTGAGCCGTGTACGCAACAATATCGATTTGTCAACGATTTAAGGTTCTTTGACCACAAAATACGCAGGTCCCATAGCCATTGAACCTTTTTGTACGAGGTGGTTTATTTCACGAGGTCTCGTGGTTTATTATTTCGCTGCAAATATGAGGTTGCAGAAATGCTGGGGAAAAAAGCATGTTTTAATTTTTTCTCAAGGAAATTGAACTTTTTTCCATGTTAAGAAAAAAGGTGGATGGGTTTTTACTGCCTTTAGGGTAGGATAACAGAGGGCCATTATTATTATTATTATTATTATTATTATATCTTAAAAGAGGCGTTGCCAGAATTCCCTTTTTTCCTTGAACTAAAAAAGTTTTTTATTGCAGCCAAGAGTAGTTAGAAAACATTTGTTTCTTAGTGCAATATTTTCCATATACTTAAAACGGGGGCACAAAAAAACTGTACAAATCGAAAGGAAAAGTACGACAAACCAATAGCTTCCTTTTACTAAAACTTCCAAGATTATTGCGCATCACGAATTTAAATTCAGAATATGCAAACTGAATCAAGCATCATAAACATTGTTCGCATTCGTCTGTGATCCTGTGTGTGTGCATGCTGTGCCCCATGCCCAAATCTCCCTGAACTAAGCTTGAAAATTATATGTGGGATGTTTTTCAGCATAAACCGATTCATCTGTTGAGGATAAGTGTCAAAGAGGCCAGCTATGAACTAGTTAGAGTACCACCACACAGAAGAAACATCGCTCAACCTTCAGTCAACAAGACCCACAATAACTGGCCAACATTGGTAATGTGCTGTTTTTTTAAAAAGGTACCCTATGAGGTTGCTATGGAGCAACATGTTTAAGTCTACGTCCCCATTCTTTAAGTATCTTGTGCAGGTGAAAGGATATCGTCCTGCTCAATCCGAAGAGTTTACGTTAACCACTGGTCGTTAGTTGCTTGTGGAGGCATGTCAAGAAACGCAGCAGCTCTGGAGAAGTTTTGATGAATGAAAATTAAACCGTTATTCTGCATCAAAAGACACAGACACACAGACACAGACACACATACACACACACTTTGGTGAGACACTAGATGTAAAAATAACTTTGTTTACGAAATACTTTATAGGGTACCTTTAAATCTGTTTTTTTCAATAAATTTGTTTTTAGGGAAGCTGATCCTGATCTATCTGCAGTTTTAATGTACACTTCAACTTAGTTTATAGTCATGTGGTAGAACATGGACCTGCTTTACAGATATTGAGGTAGGGTGGGCACTAGACAAAAAGTTGCCCATTTGATTTATAAAATGAAATACGGGACAAAATTACAAGTAGTGAAAGGTCACAAGACAAGAATCTTTGAGACAAAACACTCTAAATTACATTCATATGGCTCTTTCCTTTATTTAAACAGATCTGAAAGTTTAAAGTTATTGACTGTCCCATAAACCACCACAAAACCATATATTGGTACAACAGCTTCCATCAAGTGGACTTCATCACTGGTAGAAATAAAAGCTGAGGAAAAAGTTATACGCTTTTGTTTTGTGTCTTGCTTTTTTTTTTTTTAACCGGCAACTTAGAGGCAATGGTAGTTCTTCACACCCATGTTGCGTTACTTTACCTTCGGGGAGGGCTCTGCTGGGATTGAGGTTTAGCTTGCCGTCGCTCCACTGCCATATTTACATCTGAAAATAAATCAATCCAAACGTTGAACATAACAGTGACATCAAATCAGCTATGCGCTGTAAATCAGCTTATGCGCTCACGCAGAATGGAGTGGCCGCGCCAAAACATCCACGATCCAAATGAAACTGAGCTCCAATATCCAAGCTTGAAAATCCAAACTGGACGAGAGTCAAAATGCAGAAAATCGAGTCGGGTTTCGAGAGTCAAATTGAGTTTAAGATGAACAAGAAATGAAGCAATTATTTTCACGCCTTCAACATTGGCTTAACAGTAGCCCCGCTTGAATGTGTAAATTAGATTTTCAACTTGAAATTTGGCATTCAGAAACTCCCAAAATCACAAGTGGCCCACTTTAGAGAAACATTTAAATCCATGTTGAAGAAAATTTCAAGACAGTGTTGCAAATAAAACAAGAGATTTAAGTGATTCAGGCTTTGCCAGAATTTAATAATGCACTTGTTTATTTGCTTCGTAAGCCAGTAATGCGACATGTCTACACAAAGAAAGGTCAAAGTAGAAACTCAGCAAAGCTAAATTAGTCCACTCTAAGATAGTTGTAGGTCAAATTATACAACCTTCACTTTGTGAAGTTAGTTTTCGAGTTCCACTTTCATTTACTGGATGCAACATATCACATCATTAAAATAAAAAAATAAAATATTTTAGGCTTGTAATTATTAACTAAATGAATAAAAGGAAATCTCTAGCTTTCATACACAACCTTTATCCATAGAAAACCTTTGGTAAAAAGTGTTCATTAAAAAAAGCATATTAGCATTATTTTTTCAGCTGAATTTTAAAATCACCAAATCCCCAATTCTCCAGAATTAACACTTAAACTATCATGTCCAATCAACATTTTTCACAACAAAAGAATAAAAACTGGCGTTACGTTGCTCGTTCACCAATAAAAAAATAAAAAAAATAAATCTATCCTCTTTAGCCACACACCTACTGCAGTTAAGGCTTACCTATTTTATAACCTTTATATATTCGACCCTTTTGGGCCGCCTTCGCAGCTTCGGCTTCCTCAATGCGTTCAAATTGTACAAATCCAAACCCACGAAACATGGATACGCCTGGAAGAGGAACATTTTAAGTGGTAAAAGTGATCACTTTGAAGAGCATTTTGGATACCTACCAATTTACCCACTTAAAAAATCATCTGTCGGCACATCATTACAAATTTTACAGGCTTGAATTTCATGAAAAAACGTTAAACGTGAAAAAAGTTAATGCTACTAGACATCTACATGCACATTGAAAATTACATTTGAAAATACTCAATTGTCACATTCATGGACATTGTGCTTGATTCAAACTATTGCCAAGAATTAAAATCAAAAACGAATTTCTGCGTTTACTGACCGACTATCTTCCCGTACGGGGTGAACAGTTCTTCCAAATCCTTCTTTTCCATGTCCGAGGTCGGCAAATTCCCAACAAAAATCCGTCTCTCCAAATCTCGGGGATCATTACTGTTGCAGGAGCGCGAAAAACGCCCTGGTGATGAGCTGCGGCTTCTTCGGCGAGACATAACTCCCAAGTTTAATGGTTTTCTTCGTACGTCTCAAATGCTTGAAAAAGTTTGTTCGCTATTAAGCGCCTTTAAATTGTCGTCCACGATCCTGAAACATGTCAGTGAGTTAAGAGAAGAGATCAAATTCCTTGGAAGGATAAAAAGTTTAAGTAGAACAGAAGTTGCAGGTCAAAGTCACATCAAAGTTTAGACAATGAAATGCTGTGGCAAATTCATTTTGAAATGTAGCAAGTCGTCTAAAAACATTTCTGAATGAGTCCTTCATATTTCGATGCTCATTTTCGCCTTACGATATTCTCTAATTTCACTCTGCACTGGACCCTTAAGTATGTGAGCGCTCGCAGAGCAAATTCCTTGTGTATCTGTTCGGGCTACATTAATTCTCAGTAGAAGTCTCCCAGACTGAAATTGAGATTTGAGAAACAATAATTAAAGCCAACACAATCCTGAAGTGATTCTCATGATGTTGTCGTAGGGGTAGGAGGTATTTCCGGTATAAATGGCACACCGTAGAGAATGCACCATGATATAAATTTGCTGCCTAATTTGTTCCTGTATAAAATAGTTTTAACTATGACATAAAATGCACCATTTCTCTTTGCATTTTAACCAGTGAAAATACGCTGCCATTATATAAAAGGAAACAGGACATAACAGCTGTTTCACACAGTGTTCTTGTGCCGACATAAATAGCTGAACTGGTTGTGTGAAACGCAACAAAACCACCCCTGATTTGTTGTTTCTATGTAAAAAGAGGTGGTCCCTGCGAAACTGTTAAAAAAGGCTTGAAGTCGATGATGAAAACACAGTGCGGTTGTTGTTGTTGTGGGTCGAAATAGCATTGATACCCACAAAGATACATACAGCATCAACTCTCCGGTGTGAAACTCTGCTTCCACAATTTCAAAATGGACTCTTGGCAATAAAAAGTTACAATTCCAGAGTCAGGAATTCAAAATGTTCCCTAAGTTTTAGAGTCACTCTGTCCATCCCATCTTTGTCTCGCTGAGCTCAGTGTAGCACATACGTTTCTTATTTTTTGGGAAGAAAAATATGCCCCGTTAGGTCTGTAGCTGTGCAGACGACTATCAAACACAGTTTATAACAAATAGGAATGGGGCATAAGTTCCCATCATCAGCTTCTCTTGAAATGGTAAAAAAAAAAAATAAATGTCTTGAGGAAAATCGCGTTGACGAAATGAAATCATTACGCTTATGGTGACACTTGAAAATGCCAACATGTAAGTTCTCTTTTGCTCAAAGAAACCAAAATTCTTATAAGTCTTAAGGATTAAGTGATGTTTTTAACGTCGCACAGCACAAAAGGATTTCAGCCAAAGAGAATCTCTAGAGGTTTTCAGCCCCAACACACGTACATTACAAACTGACATGAGAAAGTGAAGGTCCTTTTTGTTACATTTAATTTATATAATTGGAGATCATTTACATAATCCCTTTTAGGAAGCAGTACTTACATACCTTAACTTGAACCTGGATGCCCTGGATTCTGTGTCCACATATTAGAAACCCCAAAGCGTCTAAAAAGAGAAGGAAAAAAACAAAGTTAATTGCCACTATATAGTACAGTTATTGAAATAAATCACTTCAAATGCTCTAATATATGTCTATAGTAGCGTCACACTACACAAATTACTGAGTACCAAAGCAAGTGTTTCATATTAATTTAATATTGTATATCCATCAATGACATAGACCATCATAAAGTTTTCCAAAAGCATAATTTATTATTATTTTATAACTTCATGATGCAAATAAACCTTGCAAAACTGAGCTCCGATCAAGTAAATGCTACTTCTACAGAGTAATAAAACATTAGATAGATAGACAGATACTTTATTTATCCCGAGGGAAATTCAAGCATCCAGTAGCAGCATACAAACATAACTTAGACATACATTAAACATACATTCATACATTAAAATGAATAGCACAGTAGCCATACATTAAATTGGATAGATTCAACTTTTGCAGAGGAATTAAATATGTGCCGAGAGAGAAAATAAACTAGAAAAATAGAAATGAAACATGTGCAGGTAAATTAAATGTTTAGAGGTTAATGACTGCAATTAAAATGAGGCTGTCGACCATAAACATTGCCTCTAAATGCTCATGTACTACAGACTTTACATCACGCATGTTAACTGAAAATGGCGACAAATAGAGATTATATCGCGGGGGTTCTTTTAAAATAAATAAAAAGCATTAACGTTACAATAACTAGTAGTATTTTCTGCAGAGCGAGTTTGTTGCTATTCTCGTCGTGTAGACAAAACTCAACACAACACCTACACGGCCACGCTACAAATGGCGTACAACAACCCCCCCCCCCATCCCCAACAGCAGCGGGCTTATAGGAACAGATAATATTATGTAACTGGGTTATTTTACTTTAATACACATATATATTTTTAAAAAAAGAGTAACATCGCAGCACACTTGAACCACCGCACTCTCCGGTAGTCACCATGTTACAGCTATAACGTTGACGTCAGCTGTTACGTTAGCTACTGAACGTTAGCGAGCGACTAACGTTCCCCTGTTCACCTTAGCAACAAACGGCCTGGCAACCAACTCACACTGAGGTAGCTACACGGTTTCACTGCGCCCTCTCGTTTATGTTTACTCACCTTCGACGTGATATATTTGTTTTTTATTTCCGTTTACAGTCGCTCACGGCCACGGGCATCTGAATGGCTATCTCGTTGTCTTCTCATAAAAGCTGCCGGAGAGTCTTTTACTTCATTTTATTCATTTACGGCAGCTTTTCTTCTTCTACGCCCACAGCTACAATTGAGCGTACGTCGCCCCCTATTGGCTATCTGTTGTCTTGACAACAGGATAATGCAGTGGTTGCCAACCTTTCTCCTTTTCTCTCACTCAGTGAAGTGTTTAACGCTTTCTAAGTGGCATATTTTATGTATATTTAGGGGCCGAGCCCGTTCACTGAACTGGAAGGTCTCTATTGTTTTTGCTATGTTTATTATTATTATTTCTAGGCCACTTCAACTGCAATTTTGAGCCCCGCGTATTTACGAACTCTCAATTTTATTTGGCAGACTTGTCAAGCCTCATTTAACTTAGATATTCTATGCGTCACATGCAGATCAGCCACTAGGTAGGCCACTAGGTGGCGCTATTTTAGCAGATTTCGATAGGCTAATAACCTTAACGTTATATCCACGCGTTCGGTGAATGGAGCTGAACCTCCCCATGTAGGCCACGCCCACTTCCGCCTAGATTTTTTTTTTTCTAGAGCGCAAAATGTCCATAAATCAGTTTTTCGTGTTCCTCCTACACACTTTGTGCGATTCGCACGAAATTTTGCACGTAGCATCTGTGGACCGTCCTGGCAACAAAAATAATTTGAACATTTTTGCCATTTTGAAGTCCGTGGTCTTGTATTGGAACAAACAAACTCCTAGAGAATTGATCAGATCTGCTTCAAAACTTGATAGTACTCTTGAATAATCTTGCTGATTACAAGTTGTGCTATTTATGACTGTACGTTGAAGGGCGTGGCCCCGGTGTTTTGTCAAAGTTGGACATTTAGAATTCTGTGGTCATTTTCGGTGAATTTTTGCCTTGCATATGAACAAATTCATCCTAGGGAATTTCTGGGATCTGCTTCAAAATTGGTCAGTACAGTCAAAAATGGTGCTGAATGAACGCTGTTTATTTTTTCACCGTACATTGAAGGGCGTGTCCGTGGCGTGCTGTCAAAGTTGGCCATTTTGAACGAATGTCACACTATGATGCCATTTGCGGCATTTAAGGGCTTCTGTTGTAAGTCCTCCTATAGTCCTCAAACGTGGAATTCAAGGGAGAAGAAATCATGTTAATTTCATCTTTAATTTCTGTAAAGAAAAAGGGGTCCTGAGATAACTTATGTTATGGTAAATGGATTACTCAAAGCGCTATGAATTAGCAGTATACAAATAAAATTGAATAGAATTAAGAGTATCTGTGGGAGATTGCTATTGTTAGCATTATTAGTAGTAGTAATACTATACATTTACTTATACTACTTCAAATGGTTTAGCATTAGCATCAAGATATGATTAATAGATTTAATTTTAGGGCATAATTGAAGACTGCATTTATTGTGAGTGTGATGATATGGCTTTATGTATGGAATTGTCACAAGTTGATATAAGGTTGTGAATGTTAGTTAAAGTTGTTACAATATGTTATTCACTTAAAGGTGGTCTTACGTCTTATGTGTAAATGCCAAAACAATCAGCAGGACACCACAGGGAATCGAACCCCATCCCAGTAAACCAGGAGTACCATTACTAGTGTCTTTTTGCTTTTTTCGACAACATATGAAAGGTAAAGCAAAAACTGCCTTAGCAACAGCATAACATTATATTAGCATTTAAGTATTTACAATTCAAATTATGCCATACTTGCACTTCATTTTGGATATTTAATGTAGATAACTTCAACGACTGCAGTTGTGCAGTTATTAGTAATTAAGTTTTTTTTAATAGAAATCATTATCAATACATGTTTTAGCTACAAATGCTGTTGTAATGCAGAAAGGAAACCCTTTTATCATATTTAACGTTCAGCAGAAGAACCTACAAAAACATGCATATTAAAATATTCAATGTTAACATGATAGAAGCAAAACCAACATGACCAAGGTCAAACACCATGCAATAACTTTTATTAGTATTCATTACAATTTATATTAAGATAATTCATAAAACACACATTATGACATTCACATTACCAATTATTATGAGAAAGAGTTCATAAACCAAACACATTACTGCATATACATTATAAAATCATACAAGATAAATCATTGAAGAAACACCTGCATGTTTGTAAACATGCATAATAGGCTTAGACAAGGCAATTCATAAAACATGCAACATATTAATACACAGTATACAATAGTACAAGAGAATTAATTGAACAAACATTACATGAATATTAAAAATTATGAAAACAAAATTCATACATATACATTATTATGTACACATTATATTAATTTAAGAGATTTCATAAAACACATTTTATAGTTATTCAAGTTTTCCATGATCATGTTCTAAACTCCTAGATGTAAATGAACATAGAATCCCTTCATGGTCACTGAAATATGTCGGCAAGACAACAGACTGTACATCATAATGTGATGTTTTCACATACACATGATCAATTAATGTGCCTTTTTCTGTTGTTGCTTGTTTGACAATTTGGATAAACCCTTTGTCAGTCATGAACTTGTAGATAGTTGATGATTTCAAAATGTTGTCATTGAAATCTCCCATGACAGCAATTGTGGTACTTTGGTGATTTAGCCAATTAAGTAATGTTTCAAGATTTTCTTTAAACAATGTTATGGTGTATGATGGTGGTCGATAAATAACTGCGATTAATATATTGTAGTGCAGTGCAGTGGTAAACCAAACATTCTAAATGTACATTTGGTACCGGGATAATACTGTATGCCAAATTCTCTGCACTATACATGCCAACTCCACCATGTTGTTGGTCTCGAATTTGTTTGAATAAGGGGTTGCTGCTATTGTAGGGCAAACTTCTTGGATGATTGTGAAAAGCATAACCATCCATTTTAACAGTTTCCAATGAGTAAACTGCAGGCAGCCATGTTTCAGTAACAGCAATACAGTTAAGCTGCAGATGCTGTGTACACAAAGCCAAATCAGTTACATGTGGAGTCAAATTTTGCACATTCATCAAAAACACATTAAATGGTGGTGTAGTAAAATTACAAGCTGTAATATTTGTGACCAAGAAGGGAGGCATTGTTGCAATTGCATCCTCAATGTTATCTTTGCAATATATGGCTTTCTCGTCAAAATTCTGAATAACTAAACCCGACAAACTTCTAACTCGACTTAAAGCCACATATGCTTGACCAGCTGCAAAGATTTTCTTTATCCACAGTAAGTCCTTGGACTTTATGGGATAAAGCTTTAGCGGAAATTGCCGGCGCAATCCACCATGTTTAGTCACCCTTTCCTCTTCTGGTTCAATGCCTGTGGAACCTGTTTCAACAGCAGAGGTAAATGCACAGCAACTCCTCCTTTTTGTCCCAACTTGATGATCATCAAACTTAACATAAATCATCTTATGGAACTTATCATCATTATCGGGGGTACCTCTAATAGGTTTGAGAAAGCGATACCCATCATCAAACTGCAACAACTGCTTAAACTGTTCTTCATCATTTAAAACACTTGTGGTTACATTTTTAAATTGCCCTCCTTTTCCCTTTCGTAATGCTATTGATACACTTGACACAACCTTTTCAACCTCAGACATGTACTGAGCAAAGAAGATGTAATCAACATTTTGTGCAAATCTACCATCAGCATTTAAAATACGGTTATTAAAATAACGGCACAAAGTCTGCTGTCGTGGTACGTTGCAGATCCAGTCGGAAACAACACCAGGAAACATTTTGCTTCATTTGAATGATCTTGACAGGAGTGTTGCTTTCTGCTGGAGCTACATTTAATATGTTATCAAAATATTGATCAAGTGCTTCTTGACCAATGTCAACAGGCATAAGACAAGTGTCCTGAAACATACAATGCTGTTGTCTGTCATGCAGAAGCTCATCTTCCTCAGCAGCTGCATTACTGTCATCATTAGCATTACCATCTACTGCTGCACTATCCTGTTCTGCCACACTCTCTTGTTCCCTACAAAACTCATTTAACCACGCTATTAAATGTTGCTCTAAACTATTCAAGCATGCTAATTCTGGTGGAATAAAACATGTTGCCAAATTATTCAAAGCACATTCCGGTGGCATATGACCTCTACTAATTTTAGTGTTACAACTGAAACAAATCCACAACTGACCCCTAGCTGAATCTAACCACTGACAAGGCAATACACAATCTGTACTACATTTATGCAAATATTGTTCACTAATACATTTACCTGCAATTACACTTATTTCTTTTCTTTTACCATAATCCTTCATGCTACACGGTAAAACTTGTTTTCTAAATAACTTTCTAAAACACACACAACAGACAAAATCCGGGCCATCATTTACTTTAGCCAAAAACTGCTGCATAAATCAAACTCTGTCAATTTTGCATTTAAACGTTGCCTCTTCAACTTCATATATGCAATAACACGCTGCCTATGCCGACGATTTCCATGATATTTCTTTATACTCGTGGATTTCATATACTGCCTGTGCAATCGATTTTAACGGTATTTCGTTTTACTCATTTCCTTTACTGTGTCCCTGTGAGACTTATTTTTACGTTATTTAGTTTTACTCATTTCCTTTACTGTGTCCCTGTGAGACTTATTTTTACGTTATTTAGTTTTACTCATTTCCTTTACTGTGTCCCTGTGAGACTTATTTTTACGTTATTTAGTTTTACTCATTTCCTTTACTGTGTCCCTGTGAGACTTATTTTTACGTTATTTAGTTTTACTCGTTTCCTTTACTGTGTCCCTGTGAGACTTATTTTTACGATAGTTAGTTTTACTCAATTCCTTTACTGTGTCCCTGTGAGACTTATTATTACGATATTTAGTTTTACTCATTTCCTTTACTCTGTCCCTGTGAGACTTATTATTACGATATTTAGCTTTACTCATTTCCTTTACTCTGTCCCTGTGAGACTTATTATTACGATATTTAGTTTTACTCATTTCCTTTACTCTGTCCCTGTGAGACTTATTATTACGATATTTAGCTTTACTCATTTCATTCAATTTTTCCCTGTACCAATCTTTTGCCTGATAATTCATTTTCATCTTTTCTAGAAATTCTTGCCTGTTTTGCTGATATTTTATTCTTTGTTGTAAATTTCTTTTTTTTACTAAATAGTTAGACAAAGACAACTTACTCATGGTTTGGGCATTTTGTTCAATAATGCCTACTTCAGCTTCACAAATTGAGGATGCAACCGAAGTCAAATTGTCTGCACAAACAACACCTTGTTTTCTCAAATTGTACCTAGACCCACCCACTTTGCAATACCCATAGCAACACTGCATGTTTGGCTGCTGAACACAGACAACACTCTCATAATGATTTCCATTGCAATTTTCTAAATAAATCCCCTGATTTGACAACAACTTGTACTTACAACTATATTCAAGCCAGCAACCATCACAATAAGTGAATATACTTACTCCGAAAAAATCTGCTGCTGCTTGAATCTCTACTTCTGTGGCCCAACTACCGACATAGGCCATTTTTGACATTGTGAGATATTCCTCCATTGAAGAATACTCAGGTCTTAAAGCACCACCATTGGCTTTCAAATGCTTTACAACAGCAAGCCTAATTTTTCTGTGATGCTTCTGTGTACCACACACAGCCTGACTAACTGCTCTACAGAAACAGTTACCATCCCTAACTATTTTCTCCTTCAAACAAGGAGCACCCAACGGACCAACTTCTGTAGAAACTAAATCTACTTTCTCTGACTCAACATTTAACTGTTTGCACAGAGTGTCTACAACTACCCCACAAAGTGGATTAAACTGGAGCCCTTCACTCACAACATCCGCTACAAAAACAACATCTGAATCAACTGCAGCACAATCACTGTTTTTTGACTTCTTTGATGACAACCCACTGCTTGATCTTTTGCGCTTAATACTTGTGCAACCAACTGTTGGCTGAACAGGTAAACCACAGCCCGACTGACTTCCCCTGCTTTCTACTAGTACCTTTGGACTGGATAATGAATTAATGGGTGGAACTGGACATCTGGGGATCACACAAACACTAGCAATCTCAAACTGTTTGGGACGTTTAAATGCTGTTGCAAATTTGCAGATGTGCTCAAAAACATCATCAAGGCAAGTGAAACGCACAACAACACTTTTCCCTTTCCCATCCACCATCCCATCCGCACTGCGTGCATGCGAATCAACCACAGCAAAACGACCACCTTGACTGATGACTGCGCATGTATTTCCACCCAATGTCAGAAAACATGTGTCATATTTACTAAATATCTTCTCTAATCCAGATCTGAGACTGGTCATTACACCAGATTTAATCAGATCACTTGTCAGTTCATCAACAAATCCAGAAACGCAATCTTCATACTCAAAGTCAAACGTTTGTCCATCGATAACAGAGTGTTTGGGCAAATCAGGAACACTAAGCAGTTTCGAAACCTCACTGGTGACATTGCTGTCCCTCAACGTATTGTAAAGATTATCCCCCAAAACAACAACCTTGTCCAGATTGTCAGCCTGCCACGAAAACACACTTTCAATGGAGTGTTTTGCTACAGCTACCAAACTGATAGCCATACACTGAACTCCAGCGTGTTGAAACCGAGGATCTGCCTGGTGGAAAGATCCCCTGACAGAACTTGCATTATTCTGCGAACTGCCACCCTCGACTACAGCTGCAGTTGCAACTGTGACATCAACAACTACATCTGTCAGCAATGTAGCACTGTCAATGTCAGAATCTGCCTCCACAGACAACCTGCTAATGAGACACCACTCTGCACCCAAAGACCTCTTAAGATCTTGGATATGCACTACCAGGTCACGCAGGGTTGTGTTACAAACAGCTACAGACCTGCCAATATTAGATGCCAAACCAGATGCATCACAAGTACCACAATCAACTACCACAAAGTAACCATTGTGCTCAATGATAGCACTCACGGCACCGTGGAGGTTCAAGAGACACATTCCATCAGTCAACAAAGGTTCCTGTAGTTTTTCAAGTAACACAGACTCGTCCAAGTGGAAACCTCTGTAGACTGTTGAACCAATAGCTACATTGCACTTCCTGCCAAAAACACTGTGCTGTTTAATGAACTCACATAGCTCATTGTCAAAGCCACTACTCCTATTTGATTGAGCTACATAACTAGCCAACTTCTTGCCTTCGAAACAGATGTCATCAATATCTCTGGCTCGCCATGTACACACAGGAGCAATAACATGTTTAAGCGCAGCAACAACGCTGCACGCAATAGACACATCAGTTGTTGACGGCGCAACCTTTACATTAGTACCAGAAACATCCTCAGTTGTCGGTGCAACTTTGACATTAGTACCAGAAACAACAGCCACATGCTTTTTCTCTGCACATCTGCAAGAGGGAGGGTTAGCATCAACCTTACTTTTGATGAATCTTGATGGGCACTGAATAGGAGGACCTGACCTGCTGACCTCCTCCTCCACAACCTCTTCCACAGCAGTGGTAGATGATGGTTCTGAGAACACTGGAGTTGCATCCCCCTAAATAAATCCAGAAAAACATTAACAAAACTGTCATTTTGGCATTTGAGAGAACTTGCTAGTCATATACAATAATTTGGAACCATTTGTTTTGACCAATGCACACCAAATTAAACTGATTTAGAATAAAGTGTACCAACCTCCTCCGTTGCAACCTCTTCCACAGCAGTGGTAGATGATGGCTCTGAGGACACGGTCACAGCACTTGGAGTTGCATCCACCTAAAAGAAATGAAAATACATTATCACAACTGTCATTTTGCATTTGAAAGAACATGCTAGTCATAACAATAATTTTGTATGTGTACTACACAATTTGTTTTGGCCAAAGGCACACATGCACATAGAATTCAACTGATTAAGAATGAAGTGTACTAACATCCTCCTTTCCAACCACAACATTGGCAGATGTCGGCCTGGGAAACGCCTTCTCAACACTGGGTGACGCCTTGACCTGTTTACGCAAAAACAAAACCATGTATTTCCTTATTGTTTTCAATCATTATAATTATTCATGTACTAAACAAGTAGAGTAAAGACAATCTTGCATTAGTGGTCCCTTCCATATATACTGTGCAATTCAATGATTACATTAATGAAATCAAAACAAACCTGGCACATTGCAAGTCTCCTCTTGCAGGCGACACGCTTCACTCTTGGCTCCACACTTGGTGTCTGGTGTAAGAAAATCAAACACACTTTTAGAACAGATATAGGAGTGTTTTAAGGGAAAGAATACAATTTGCACAAAACTCATCAATCAACTCGTCGCTCATTTTCAGCTTACCGTTGCGTCTTGTGAAACAGCTGGGCTGTCAGGGCTCGGAAGATGTGCTGGAACCACAGCATCCATTGCAGCCAACATGGAAGTGCTGAACAGGACAGGATTCAGTGGGATGAAACACTCCTTCAGCACAATTGGACATCCATCCACCTGTGAAATAAACATAGAAACACAATGTTACTCACAGTTGCTATTGAGTGCTATCAATGTGCATAGATATACAATCAATATACATATGTCAACAATTCATGTCACAGTATACTACAAACCTGATGCCGAACCACGCGCCGTTTTGATGGACTACAGAGCTGTTCCTCAGATTGGACCCTCTGCAATGACAAATAACGATTTTATTAAAATGAATGCATGCTGAACGTTTTTGAATTGACTATTTAGCAAATATCAGTGGGAAAAACACGAGTACAGTATGCAAATATTACCTTCTTGCCCTTCACCATTTCCATCCAGACATACGGGTCAGAGGGGGGAGACGAAGGGGGAGCAGCAAAGACCTCTTCCTTCACGAGCAACCTTGGAGGGGTCCTTGGAACTGGGGGTGGTGTTCTGGGAGCATCCTTCGCCTTTGGTGCTGGCACCTCCAGTTGCTTGTAGGCAGCGTCCCACAGCAACTTGGAAAGAATCTCCATGCCCTCGTCGTCGCTCAAGTGAACCTGAAATGTTAGAATAATACATTCAGTAAACATAACATTGACTTTCAATACATGTCTATTATAAATTCAACTGCAAATAACTGAAATGAAAAGATCGCGTTTGCACACAGAATATGCTACTTACACTATCTCTGACCCACAGATCCAGCTGACTGAAGGGGAAATGTTCAAACGTGGAGTAGTATGCGATACCTAAGAAATAGAAAATTTTTATGAATCATTAATATACTTACATATATCAACTTCAGCAAAATAAGAAAGCATAAATCTATTTGTAATACATTGTAATGTATGATAGGTCAAACACTATCTGAGAAAATACAACTCATAAAACATGGAACTTAAAGATCTACTCGAAACATACCCATTTTGTGCGCCACAGAATGAAACTCCCGGCTCATGTGCTCCTGCAGTTCTGGTGCAACGGTCAGACGTGGAACAAAGTCCACCACAAACACCTAAAACACAGAACAGCAGTTTTTAAACACAAATCTAGTTTTGGTCAAAATGACCATCCATTTAAATACATATACGTTATACTACAACACCTCATTTCAGAATTGTCATTACTGAACAAAACTTATAACGTTACACAGAATCAACAAAATAACTTACATTTTCACAACGCTGACAAGCACTGAGCAAAAGCTCCCGGAACTCTTCTCCGGCCACCTCATGGGTACTGCTGGTCGTCAGGTTGTTGCCGGGGGCCAAGATGCACACTGCATCAGGTGTCCTCGGCAGTGGCGCATGGATCAGCTCGGTCCTCAGATGACACGCACTCGCCCCTGGGGTCGACATGATGCCAAAGGAAAGGTTTCCCTTTGAAAGCTCGACAGTTCCATCAGCAAAGGGACGCAGATGTGAATCCCCAACGACAAGGACGAACTGGAGAAATAGAAAAAACCTATTTAGAAATCACACGTCACTTTTTACTCCGAATATTTGTTAACAAATTCGAGAAACAATAAATTACCTTCTTATCAGGAGAAAGAGCAGGAACCACCAGCTTGTGTGTCTTTCCAGACACGGACCTGTCGTACTCTTTCACATGACGGCGTTTCCCTGTACCACGGCCTATTAAGGGAAAGACAAATATTACTCATCTGGATTACACAAATATTGACCTAATTTACTATGACAAAAACTTGTGCACATTGAACTTCATGAAAAGGGGGGAACACAACTGGCTACTTACGTGGAACAAACTCAGGACGTGGTGGCAGCAGCTCCACATCCCATGGTCGTTGGCCTGCCCATCTCCTCTTGGCGGCCTGAGAACGACGGTAGCCTTTCCCACGTGGCATCTAGTGGTGGTATCAAGTATATAATATAATTGATTAGTGATAACCACAACAAAACACTATATGCTCAATGGCAAATTCAGATTGTAAAGAACTAATGAAGCCAGTCATAAATTCAGATTGTTTACTACCACCGTATGAGTAAAGTGAGCTGCCATGTGCAAACCATGATAAGCTGAGATGCCATACACATTCACAGCTTTTATACACAGATGCTAATAGCTGCTATGACTGCTTCATAAACTCCTGCTTGTTAACAGCACGTTACACATCCTTTTTACATCCTGACTTAGACAAAGAGAGCAGAACCAAAGTGACCACTTGTGTATGATTGACTAGTACAAGGTGTGATAGGGTGTGGCATTCAGACAGTGTGCCTCTCTTTCAAACACAGATTACAATGTATTCACACTTGATTAGTGAAATCATGGGCATTACTTATGTTAATAGATAGTGATTGCCATTCATCATTAACATAGTTGTTTGACTGAAACAACCATTGAAGCTACTCACACTACAGTTGGTTTCTACTACTTTACTTACTATTTGTGCTATTTACATTACACTAAATCTCACTTTACTTCTACAAACTCCACATTACTCATTAATTGTAAAGACAACAAATATTTCCAATGAAACATGTCCATTTGTAGTTGAAAATCATGGCAATGCCCATTAATATATATAAAACTAAATACAGATAGTACTGTGAGAATTTCATTCCACCTAAAGTACATGTATTATGGTATATTCTTTACTAAACAACAGTTCACATAAAATCAACTACAGGCAACCATACAACTTTAAATAAACTCACCGTAAGAAGACAAAAAATCACGTAGTTCAAAACCTTGAAAGGGGTTGAAATTTCTCTCTGGCACTGTCTCTAAGCCTTGCAAATGCAAACACAGCTCCTCTCCTCAGTTCTGCAAAAAGCAAGACCAATACTAAACTTTCAACAAGCTATTTATACCTTATCACCAAACGAATTCAGCCAATCCCCGTGCAGGACAGAAAGGGGGCGGGACATCAACACAAACACCTGGAGAAACAATATTGTCAAACTTGTGACAATGATCAAAATGATTATATTACTGACACACTTACTTATTGTTATAAAGATCAAATTCTTCAGACATGCCTTAGTCAATGTTACATTTCAATGTTCCTTTAAATATATGTTTTTAATTAATAACTTTTTGCTTCTCACTATACATTATCAATCTCATTAAAAATACACACAAAAAATCACTGAAATATGGGTTTTATTCATGACATCTGGGTCACTTTCACAATACAAACCTCACAATGAAACATCATAAAAACATAACACAAACACATACATAACTACAATTATAAATAAGAATGTACTACAAAAAGTTACATAAACTCCTAACAGAGACTCCTTTCACTTCTATCAGGTCATCTCCATCTTCCAAACTGATATTGACTTGTACAACTAATTCCCATGGAGTCATTATTTACTGATTTAAAATAAGCTCCATAGATGCTGAAGATTATCACACATAATTATATTGTGGAAAACAGGAGTCTACTTTGCTTTTTCATGACAGTCTGTGGTTAAGATAATCTTTCTTGTACTAATCTTTCATGTACATTTCTGTAATATAACTATATGAGCTAGCAGTACACCATTCATGTACATGGCTTTTACTTTCCTTAAACTCACCTACATGCAACACATTACTGAGTGAAAATCATGCATTGCTCAGCACATCAGCAGTACTCCTATAGATCTCTAAATACATTTGTTTGTGAACACCACTGATAACTAAACAACACATTATTTCCATATAAATGCACAAAATGGCTGCTGTAACTGATTGTTATTCAACTATGATGACATTCCTTACTGAGACAAAGAGAGCAGCACCAAACTGACCAATTGTGAGACTATGTATGCTGGAGTCGTACAAGGTGTGATAAGGTGTGGCATTCAGACAATGTACCTTTTGAGGAAGACTATTGCAGACAAAAGACAGTCATTGACTGAACAACAATTGCAGCTGCTCAGCATACTGTTGTTGACCTTTTCTCGCCAATCTGTATAGCAGCAATTTAGACCTATCACCTACACAGCCACAACCTGACATTCTTAGAAAAACAAACTGTAGATGACGAGTTGAGCTATTTGTGACTGTACTTCAAACCGCGTGCCACTGAGGACTTATCGAATTCTGACGATTTTCCATTAAATAGTACTCGTAACGTCAGTGTGCAATGTCCAATCTACAATAAACTTCATATGTTCTGTAACAGTCTCGCCCTAAACGCGTCCTCATAACATCAGCCTACGTATTACAGTCCCGCCCTGAACTTGTCTACTTGACAATATTCAGATACAGTGAAAGCACCACATACTGGCAACAGCAAGGAAGCGCTGCGTGGCGATTTGGAGCTGATTTGGAGCCGATTTACGTGACGTATTTGCGTTGTGGTCCGTGCTTGTTACGATGGCACGTGACGCGGCCGCGGCACGCCCCGACGAGCGCGCCGGGTGCGAGGTCCCGCCCAACGCTGCTTGCAGCTTTAATTCACATTATATTTAATGTATAACAATAAGAACAACTAATAAACTACAATGAAAACAAATAGTGATCAAGATAACTGAAGGAAATGTGTGTAAAACAAGTTATTTGGATTCATTTTGAGCAGAATTTCCTAATAAGAGATAATTTTAGGGAAATTTTTATTCTAAACTCTGTTTTCATTATTTATTATTTATTTTTAACAATTCTGCATGCCTAATAGGCTACTTTTTTAATAGATTCAGGTTTTCTTGTCATTGTTCTACTGGTTTGTTTTAATGCAGGATGAGGCTGTTTATCAGAGTAAAGGCTCTGTGAATATATCTGTTCAGTTCTTCACCGTGACCTTATCCTGCTTATATAAACATATTTGGATGTAGGCCTAATGTGTATATTTTTAAAGTTTTCTCACGTGACCCCCTGTGGCGCTTTGGCAATCCATGGTGGGAACCAGTGGGATAATGTACAGTGCATGTTCTGTATGGTGCTAACTTTTTATTTATACAGTCTAAACAACGGCAGCACATACAAGTATAAATACATATTAGGGACATAAATGGAAACATTAAATGATAATCACATAAAAGAAGGAGTACACAAATACGTATACATTAAAACACTGAGGCATGGTGATTAAACACTTACTTTTTTGTTTTAACTGAGTGAATTTGGTAGAGGATTCAGCTCTAGGAGAAAAGGTAAGATCTTAGGAAAAAATAATATATTATAATATATAATATTTATTAAGAGCACCATCATCTGGATTATTATAGTAGCAAATAATATCTTTAAGATTAAAAGAGTAGAGTTGGCAGCTCCAAAAAGTAAGACTCTAGATCTCTTCAGGATTTTCAGGATATTTCACAATCATAAAATAATAATGAGAAATTATGTTCACAAAATGTACAAGAAATATCAGTATCTGTAAACTTAAATTTAACTTAAAATGTTGAAGTGTACTTCCTTAGGCTTTGTTTGAATTACAGTACTTAAAAAAGCCAAGCCCTTCTCCAGTTTATGTCTTCAAATACAGCTTTCCCATTGAATCACATTAGACTATTTCTTATAAAGCAGTCCCATACTGTGATTTCGGCTACAAATATTATTCATTTGATTGGATTTAGTTTGAACGGTTTCAAGGAAAAACCTCAGTACATAATGGCATTGAGGAACGTTTGTTTTTTCCAATGGAAAGGATTTGCCAAGATAAAAGCAAGGAGAAGCATCTTCATAAATGTATGGCAGTGCTGCCCAGTGATCTACAGTAAGTGACCTCATTTAAAGATGAATGAGTCCATTGGACTATTGGGGTCACATCACTCCTCTATAATGTATATCATGAGTGGATTTCCTTGTATACAATAACATATAAGGGTTGTGTAAGTGTTAGTGATTCATATTCATTATTTATTCCCACAATTTTTCTTTAATTTCTGTCTTTCTTGTCTTGGTTTGTTCACTTAATCCTCAGGCCTATATACTACATGGTATGATTGGTTCACTGCCACTAATATTCAAATAATCAGCTTCAAATCTGGATATGCAGTATTTTCTATGTATGGAAATTAAACTTTAGTCTCACTAAACTCTTACTGTCAGAGGTTGAACTTGGTTGCCGTTGAGCTTCTACTTCCGCAGGTTGTCCACGCGTCTGGACTAATACTGTGATTACTCAAAGTGGTTCTAAACCTGGAAACATATGTGCTCCAAATACAGGACAGTAAGTTGTATCATCTACAATAAGAATACATGGCAAAGCAGATGAATAGTTTTTGCTAAAAATAACAGTAGAGACAGAAAATCTGAACAAATGGTAAAATGTTTTGCCACCACTTTTCTGGTACTATGTGTTGGCAGCAGCTTGAATGATACCTTCCACTACACTGACAAAAGGGAGGTGAGCAACAGTCTGCTGATCAACATCTGGAGTTACAAAACAACAGTAATACAGCATTTTTTTAATGAATTGGATACCACTGAATAAGTAACAGGGCCATGCATCAAAATACTGTGTTCAGTGGCAGCTCCAGTGTATTGCCTCATATGCTGTTGCTAAGTTACCAGTGACCACTGACTCTGTGGCAACCATGTTTGACAGCTCAGCATGAAATGTAGCTACGTGCAGACAACACGTCTTATTTTATGTGAGCTACTGAAGAGGCAATGTCTTAAAATCCTGGTCAAATTACTGGTATCTTTGGCTAATAATAGAGAAGTGCCACTCAGCCAGAAACTACTGCCTAATAGTTACCATGACAACACAATCAGGTACTCAAGTGCAGTACTTGAGTACATCTGGCAATTTTGAGGTAGGCCTACTTGTACTTTACTTGAGCATTTCCATTTTGTTCTTTCTACTCCACATTATTGGAGGCAAACAATGAAGCTACTTTTTGCTTCACTACATTGATTAGACGGCTTTAGTTACTGAGCAGATTTATATTCTTAATGGGAAATGTAATCAACTAATATAGCATGGTGTGCTATTACAGATAAAGCAACTTATAAAGTAATTAAAATAAGTCTAACCTTCACAAACTGCAACACAAGTGATTAAACTACTTAAAGTCCAGTTATACAATAAATATGGTTCTTAAATGGGACAGTCTGCATAATGAGTGCTTTTGGCCACTTTTGGTGCTTTAATTTGAATATTCGTATACTTTTACTTGAGTGTAAGAGTTTGGATGCAGGACACTCACTTGTAACAAGATAGTTTTTACACTGCAGTATTGACACCAAAGATCTGAGTACTTATTCTACCACTGCCTATCATGATGGCAATCAAACCTACCATCCTACTTCTTATATCTTTTGAGCTGCCATCAATTTCAACTTTTCCTCGGAAAAGATACTGAAAATGTGGGAAACACATGTGGTCAACAATGCATTGATTGTTATTATGAAATAACGCCACAAGATACAAACAAATATTGTCACTTCTTCTGTTTGTGTGACACTGGGCTGATGCCGCGTTCAAGTCTTTCGGAATTATCGCAATTATGACTTTCATCTCGTAAAACGTGTCAACGACCAAGTTGTAATTACGACTACAAAAAAGCACATATTTCTAAATGTTCCTACATATATCAGCATGCCGTAAAACAAATATGTATCCCTCACACCAGCAGCTCTATCGTCAATCGACAACTGTCTTTGAGTTGTCCAATGATCTAAACACCCACAAGTTGTAAACATGGCAACCAGTACCCTACTTTCCCATCCTTCCCATAGGACTTGAACGCGCAGGGGTTGCCAGGTTGGGATTCTGTCAGCTTCAGTTTGTTTGTGGAAACAGTCGCAGTACAGTAACATAACATATATTTCACTTACAAAAAAAAACCAGCACAGAATTCATTATTTAAAAAAC